ATATTACCTATAAGGTGCGCTAAATTCAGTATTAATTTTACGGCGATTGCATTGCTCGTTAAGCCAATATTCTCATTCAATTTCAAATGTAGGGGGTGGTCGGTGACTTTTGAGACGGCACTGTACCCATCCCACCCACCCCCTCAACGATATAAAAACGAAAATCCACTTAGTTGGTGGAAGTTGCACAGCAGGACGCTACCGAACCACGCCAGACAAGCCCGCAAGTATCTTGCGATACCTACTTCATCAATTCCATCGGAGAGGTTATTTTCGGATGCCGGAGATATAATTACTTAAAACGCAACCGGTTCAAGTCCGAATTATGTTCATGACATTCTCTTTTTGACATGTACATCAGAACTTAGTGTGTGATGGTTTAAATCAGTTATAGTTTCGTGCCATCTGTCGAGATACTCTACGAAAGCACTATTTAATTGGTGTTCGACGATAAGAATAGTAGGGCGGAATGGCTAGGACTATGATGAGATGTATCGTATGCACTATATGTGTCGTTAAGAAATAGATAATAGTGATAATAATAATATTATTAATATTAATAATAATAATTCATAAAAAAATGAAATTTTAAATTCGCACCAGAATGACCAAAGGATAGGTTATACTCATTAATGGCTTAAGTCCGAGTATTTTCCTCCCATACAATCATTCTGATGGTTTTCGTATAATTTATATTTCAAGGGCGCGCATTCCATAATCGAAATAATAAATTTATGCTTACGAAAAAGTTGAATTATTTTTACACGTTTTTTTTTGATTTTTTGTTTGTGATTGTATCAGAGCTTAACGGATGCACTCGGACAGCCTTTTATTGTTTTCATTAAATTTTTTAAATTTTTGTTTCTTTCTTGATTTATGTTAAGATACGTTTGTTAGCGTTAGCTATAATTTCCTTTCTTCTTGATAAATTTCATAAGTAATTTTTTTTACCTAAATTCTGGAGAGTTTGGGTATGGAGCCATTTTCTCCTTGCTCTTTTTTCAGAATGCTTCTAATGGTGCTATAATTCTTGGGTTCCATGGTAGATTTAATGTAAAGTAAAATGTTAGCCTCAATAAGTTAAATGCTAGTTACGTTTTGCCATAATATTAATTTAAAAATGTACAAATCTACATGAATTTGTGATAACCAGCTTCTCATTTGTCACAGACCAAAATGTTCTTTTTTCAGCATGCCTCAATTGATAAACCATATAATATTTATAAGCAGTTACAGTTGTCTGTAATTTATTCTTTAAATGTTGCCAGTTGGATGATAGCAATGGAAATAGCAATAGCACTAGTCACTTTTCTATTTCCCCTTTTGATAAAAAAATTATGTACATAAAATATAGCGGTAGTGATAAGCTAGTTCAAGTATAACTGGGTGAGCCACAGCCTAACAAACGCCCTATCGTAGAAAAACGAGACACTTTGCCCAATCTCAACTTTTTACAGATATCATTACATGTATGATTATTCAAAAAGCATTCATTAATTCCCCTCTCACCTAAATTTGTTCTTCCAAATCTTAATGGATCAACACAGTGTATTGCTGGATCTGTTAGAAGAAACTCATCCGTCAGCTCAATTCCTTGAAGATCATAAACCACCAAATAATGTTTGGTGCACTCGTACGTAAAATGAGCAAATGCTTCGAGGACGGGACGCATTTCTACAACTACTCCACTGTTTACATTGAATCGCTCGAACGTTGCACCTTCGAATCTTTGTTCGACAATATAATACTTGTTTTTGTTGTCCATGACAGCGCGCAAAACCTTGGTTACAACAAAATTTACGTTCTTAACGTTCATTCGTTTCGTAGCCGAATTAAACTTTCTTGCAAGATAAGCCGCTATAGTAGAGACCTCAACCGCCTCAAGATACTTTTCAATGGGATTTGTTTTATATCCCATCTTAAGGTATTCTTTAATTACCACGTTTCGCGTTGGATTCCTCGTAATATCAAGACCGAAATACGCATATTTTTCAGAACCAGCAGAAAAAGGTTGCTCGGACATCTTGAAGGAGAATTTCTCAGAAAAGAGCTCTTCCTTGACAAAACACGAACGAATTTTCAGCCGCTCCATATTTGTAGGAAAATCATACCAAAAAACCACACCAGAATGTGACAAAGCTTTTTCCCATTCAGGTTCCTGTTTGTTCATTTCAAGTTTCTTTTGTCGTATAGAATATATATCTTCGCTATCAGTTCCCAAAGTGCTTGTTAGCGTAACCGAGCTGGTTATGGCTGTGCAGGTGGCCTTTTTAAATCTATCAATTAACGCGATTGGATCGCCTCCCACAAGATCAAACACTGGAAACGCGCCAAGTATGCTTTGGAACACGTTAATCATAGTGTCAGTGTAAGCTGTAATTTTGCCGAAACAATAGAGAATATTCTTGTTCTGCAGACTCTCAAGTACACCCTCTGCTGTTAATCCATTTGGATCACCCAACGGATAGTGATCCGGGCAATTTCCTCCGTGAAAACGATTGCCATGGGGTGGACAATCGCCAATGTGAAGAATAATACGAGTGCCATTTCGCCAACTCATTTCGTTTACGGCTGCATTTAGACCACCGAGAACGTCTTCCGCACCGTCCTTATTTACAATTGACACTACGGTAGACATGCGTTTGGAAAACGTCTTGTAAGAATCAATAAAATCAAAGCGTTCCAACCTTTTATCTTCATTATCAATATCACGATAGCCACAAAAACCGAGCTTCGTCTTAAAACCGGGATTAGTCTGTTGGATGTGTTTCGCCACTTGCAAAATGCTGTCTTTAGCAGCAGCGATATGTGGTGACATAGACCCAGTGCAGTCCAAGACGAAACAAATATCGATCATCATCGACTGCTTGATATTAGCCAGTGCGGCGTCAATGGCATTATTTCGTAGCTTTTTTGCTTTAGTGCTCGACACCTTGTCAGAAGAATAAAATTCATCTATTTCATTAACATATCGATTCAATCGTTCGCAAACAGTTAGTTTGGCTAATTCAGACTCAAGTGACGAAGGGAGCGAGACAGCCGTAACAGTTGCGCTGCTGTTCGTACTGACGCTTGTTTTGCTTTCGGTATTCGAATCTTTTGACATTGAGACGATATAAATAAAAATGGACTTTTTCACGTCCTCTTTTAAATACTATTTTCGGTGTAACTTAGCAATGGGATAATTAATTTTTCGTGTACCCAGATTATTATCAAGTTCTTTTGTCACTTCCCGCTTTTAGGAAACGCCAAACATAACAAAGAGGCAAGATAAAAATAAGTAACCAATAAATAAATTTCTATTTATCCGATTTTTTACTAGTTCGTAAATGGGTTTTTGGTTCAAGTGAAAAAAAAAGACAAAACTTTTTCTTTTGTCATTACAAGAATAGGAATAAATGTAAGGAAGGATAAGGTCATGGGACTCAGTATATGCACCAAATACAATCCGATTATTGTTGCTTAACAACCCATATTAATATATTTAAGTGATTGAGATTGTATTGTTGTAACGCCTGTGTTATTTAAACTCTCACAGTTGACGTGTTTGATAACATGTTTATTGTGACACAGTGAATGATGTTGAGCTTCTGAAACCCAGATACACTTTAAAATCTGTCATTCCAAATTTGTTGTAACAATTAATATTAACTATACAATATCTATGATAAGTTGAACGACTTTACTACACAGAGTGCTAGATACTTATTATTATACGACACGTTATATTATGATGAAACATTTGCATTTCTACGCGAATTACGGCATGACTGCACGCAAGTAACGATAAAGATAATAACCGTTACAAGTATCGTCAAACCGATCGATATACCAATCGATATCAACACCCACTTGAACCAATGCCAAAATTTGCTCTTTGTATCATTATCCGTAGAAGAGGATTCGTGTTCGAGTTTAGTCGCATTCGTTTGAGATGTAATATTTGTCGCAGAAGAGGTGTTTTGAGGCATGGCTAGAGACTCGGTGGTTGATACAGCTGTGCTAGAAACGTAAAATTGATAAACAAAAAAAAAATAAAACACGATAACATTTGTTGGTAATTAATACAAACACCGTTGGTAACATATGTGTTCACAATTTACCTTGCAACACAAGAAATACATAATATTATAATAGTAAAGGCGATCAAGGAAAAAATAATTCGTGGACGTAGATTCATTGTCAAGATTTATTGGGAATTGGCAGAGGACGTTTTAATGCGAACCCTTGTTCTATTTCTCCGGTCTTTTTATATAGGTATACTTGCCTCGTTAACGGAGGTTATTTTCCGTACCCCTCTGTTGATTGGACTGTAGATAATCATTCTAGTAACACTAAACCAGACTTCTCATTGTTGCATTATACATGGAGAATAATAGTCTGACAGAAACTGAATCGTGCGAATTTTATATTCGGGAGCGACAAATACAAGATAACTACCGGTTTCCCAAAAATTTAGAATCCATGTAATGTAGTAAGGCTTCAACGACTGCATTAATTGAGCCATGTCCAATCGCCTAGTCTTCCGACTTTTGATAATTCATTAGTATGCGGAAATTCTCTTATTTCGGGAAGATACGGTAACATCGATCCAATGATCTTGCGTTCAATTGATTATATGCGCTTTATTCTCTGTACGTGGTATTATATTTTACGTTCTCGATATTCGAATCTAACACGAGAATGAACGCAAGGAACTAGTTATACTTGCAACAAATGAGTGTTCCACCGGGGCTATGTTATGCGTCTATAATTCCAGAAGGGAAAAGTACAAAGATAAAACCAAAGCTTGCGTTAAACGATAAATTGCTCAAGAACTAATGAAAGAAATTCAAGATGGTGTGGTTGACGAATGGTCATTGTAGGTTAAGAGTATTATTAGATCCACGAAAAATAAATGACTTGTTTGAATTTCAAAATATCTTTGTGGTTCACGTATTGAGAAGAACAATTACTGTTAATATAATTTTTTTCTTGACAATCGCTACAATTACTCTTATTTATTTCTAATACTCAAAACAATAGTTAATTCTTTTTTTGGTAAAAACAACGAAACAAATTATTCTGACGAACACATAACTACTAACGTGTTTAACATACTGTATAGTAATTTTATCTAATTGAAAATAATCTAGTAAAGTTTTCAATAAGCCATTTTATGTATTCCAAAAGTACCTTTTTAGATCCCCAAAAATAAGTTACGAGAATATATTGGTAAGAAAGCCGTCACTTCACAATCTAAATTGTTGCCGCTTGCATTATTCCAAGTGATTTTATAACAAATCAAAAGGATCCGCGGAACTTTGTGTCTTTCCCTTGGCTCCATTATTCATTTGCATTGTCGATCCACTCCCCAACCCACCGCCTCTTCCTGCCCCCCAAGTTCCACCGAGTGAAATGTTATTCGCATTAGCCATTGCGAGCGTGTTCATGGATGGCGCAGTAGATTTATTCGTAGTTGGAGTGTCTTTCAGAGATAGCGAGTCAAGACTGACTAGGTCAGATGCTTGGACCCAGATATCGTCTGATTTTAGTTTTGGAAAAGCAGATGAAGAGGAGGAATTGGCTTGCGTTCCGCCGACTTTGCTGGAGTTGAGATTATTTGTGACATGATAGGGCGTGCTAGTATTTACTGGAATTAGTGGTTTTGTTCCGAAAGCGCCATTTACGGGAGTAATGTTATTGCTAGTATTACTGGTAACATTATTATTTGCGATACCAATGCTCACACTCGTGTTATTCAAACCGCCAGAAGGAGTTATCGGGCCACTGAGCAAGTCATCAATGAGGTCTTTTGCTGGTGTAATTGTTGCAGCCGTTGCTGCTGCTGTTGTTGTCGTTGTTGTTGTTTTCGTATTTGTAGAAACGAGAGTCGGAGAAAGCACAGACTTTCGTGTAGATGTAGTAGATGAAATTGTGGTAGCAGATTGGAAGTCATCAAAGTCGTCGTCTAACATGAAATATACATAGGTGTAAGTTTGCTTTCGGTTAGACTTGACTAATGAAAATAGTTATTGTGTAACGCAAATTTTGACCCGCTCTCTCATCCCAAACAAGTTTCCATGTATCCTAGTCTAGAAATAACCACATACCAATTGACACGTTCGGTTTATGTCCGGTTGTGTTCTTCGATTCTTTAACTTCAACTGAATCCTTGTCCCCAAAGCTAACCAATATCGGTTCCACCTTCTTGCTCGAAGTTGTAGCAGGAGTATCGTTATCAGCCGTATCAGCCAGTGAGCTCGTACGCGAGTGCGTAGAGGTTATACGAGACGACCGACGGTCACTTCCAGATGAGAAGCGATTGGAATTTGGTGAGTCGTAATCATCATAACGTGAGCGAGAAAAGGACGTAGATCGGTCGTCGTCTGGGTTCGATAAAAAAAATTAGATGTTGGTTGGTAAAAAACGTTCGCACAGGCCAGACAAGAAAAGTATTAATTTAAACGATCATTTAGACTAATAAACTTGCACATTATTCTTTCTCTCATTATTCGCAAAACTCCAGCTCGGTTCTACAATATACTTACTATATGACGAATACGAATCGTTTCCATATCCGCTATATCGCGATGAAGAGCTACTGAATCCACCGGTATATCCAAGCGAATCAGAACTGACACTAGTGTATTTCTGCCTGTTCGCACGGGCTTTTTTTCGTTCTGCGCGAATTCTGTCAACATCAGAAAGGAGCTCGGCAAGTTCTTTTGCCCGGTTCCGTACTATTTGCGATCAATCATAACAGTGACATGAGAAGACAATACGCGCAGACCATTATTCTGAAAGATAAACTTTCAATTTATTGCGTACCATTAATTCCTTGATCTTTGCCTTTTTCATCGATGTATGTGAAATCACGCATCATCTTAATAGTCGCCATATGAGCGCGAGCGTCATCAACAACACGTTCTGATCCATTTTTGACGAGAAATTCCAGTAACACCAGTGCCTACAGTCAAAGTATAGGGTTAAAAAGGTTTGCATGTTCGTTTTATTTATCTACTATTTGTTGTCTGTTTTTCAGTACCTTGTAGATTTGGCGCCATTGTCGAGCTTCTTTCTCCGTGAATCGCTTGTAAATAGTAGGCATAACTTCGTTGAAATACTGACTACAAAATCAAAGCAAAGCATTACGGTTCGACAGCTCGCTCTCGTTTAAATCAATAGCTTGTTAAGCTGTACCAATAACTTACTAGTTGTAAGTCGCCTGCGCAATCTCCAACATCAAGGTACTGCTAGCACCCCAAGGTTCGTTATTCGTAGCCTCGCGCACTTTAGCCTCCATTTCAGTATAATTCATTACTGCATTTTTGCTGTTTATTAAGAATAAGCACAGAATGAATGAAATCCCATATTCATCTGCCAACAAACCGTGAAAATCGTCGGCCAAACTTACACTTTATTGAAGACATCTTTCACATCCCACACCGTAAGATTAGTCAGTTGGTCCATTTTGGAAGACTTTAGAGGAGTATGCTGAAGACAGTAGAGAGCGTCGTTAGGGACCCAGAACTTTATGGTGTATAACTGGGCTTAGAAATGTGCCCGGTCACGTTATTTATTCGTGGCTTTGCACTTGGAATTTACCCCATTCTGCGAACATTTGTAAATCCCAAATGATTTTTGAGGTTAGAAGGGTTTTAATATTCTACCATCTTGTTTGTAGTATACGCCTTACGCACTATTCCCTGCGCGAAACTTTCAATAACAACCATAGTTAATTTTCATTATTTTTGCAATGGCATCCATAACAACTTTGGGTTTTGACATGATATTATTAACATGGGGAAGAACGTAAATCTTGTTTTATTTGTGGCTGATCTATTTACTATTACCACGTATACAGCAACCTAATTCAGATTTTCGGATTAATATTACTTGAATGTGCCCAATTTCTAGGTCACAAAGTATACGAATAAAATTCCATAATAACTATCGCGACGAACTTTTGTTCACAACAAGGTGCTCACTAAAGCCCCAGTTTAGGCTGTTTTTATCCATCTACAATACATGCAGAGAAAAAGCTCATCGAGTGGTGTTATGCGGGCGTGGGCGATATATCTAGAGAATGAATGAGTGGCAGAATTGATCCAAGGAGGTGAGTGGATCTATTTGTAAATCAATAGAGCGGAGGAAGAGGATACGCCCTAAAAGATGTCATCATGGTTGCGAAGCGGGGTTGTGTTTGATGTGAAGGCACTCCAGAGAGTGAAGACGGGGTTTGGAATGTGTGATGGAGGTTGTGTATGTGTGTCATTTGCATATATCATATGGACTACATCCCATACTGATTGTGCAATATGGCATTGGTGGAAGACGTGGAGGGCAGAGTGTTCGGTGTTTGGGCACCGTATGTTGTCTGGTGATATGGTAGCAATAGGTTGGCCAATAGGAAGCCTATCCCATGTAATAGGCAGGTCGATGTCGGAATATTTCATCCCAGCTAGCAGGTCCAACACTGCGGAGATGATTAATGTGTTGGGTGTAGTGATGGCAAAAAGAGTCAAGCAGTTCGACCGGAGAAAAGTTTTGCGATTGGCATAGCATCGTCTTCATTCCAAAACGAAGGGTGCTCTTTGTCACGGCCACGTGACAAGGAGAATGAAAACGAATCGAAAGATGTCCAGGTGAAATTAAATGGTATTTTCTTGGCTAGACCTTAAATAAGCCAAGTCTTTATGGATAATACTCTCCTTCCCTGCAAATAACAAAAAGTTATGTAATGTGATAGAGCAATTTCCTGTGCGCGTTTTTTGTATCAGCTACATCAACATGGTTTATTTCGTATCGGTCATTCGCGCATCTAAAGCATTGGTGAATACGGTCGGTTGCACCAAATGTCAAATTTAAAAATGTAGCGCTTTTAATATTTTACGCAATATTTCACCAATGAATTCAACAACGATCTCCCCAGACACGTCGCCGACATTTTCTTCTAGGGAGAGTTCTACGCCTCCAAATCCTCACTCGGATTATCACTCTCCAGATCATATTCCTAAATCTCCACGTTCACCTTCACCTTCTTCCTATCTTAGTTCCCTTCCTTTGCCAACTGATCCGTCTCTTATTTCTCTAACTCGTACACTTTACTCCCGTCTGGCGAATAATACGCCTAGAAAAGAAAACAATAGAGAAGAAAAAGATAAAACATGGCACATATTTGCTGGAGAGCCAACGAAGTTGATAAGCGTTAGTGAATTCTTGGAAAATTGCATGAGAACATTAGAAGCAGAGACCGAGATCAGCGCGGAAGAAGGGAGCATGGGAAAGACTGGCGGTAGGGGAACAGAAAGAGATGGATATGATTTGAGAGAGAGAAGAGAAGTTCATGTGGGGAATACAATTGTAAGTGGAAATCAGGAAGATCGATGCTCGTACGTGTTAGCTTTTGGTTAATATATTAGTCAAAATATGTGATCACGGTAGACTTGGTGTTTTAAATGATCGGGAGAGCGAACTGATTATCGAGTTTTCTTTCACAATTTTGAGTTTATATCCCCTTGTTTATTGGCATTTTAATACTCTTTACGCCTAGTTCTTTTATCTTGCAAATGAGCGCGGTTTCGTATTGTTTCTGTCTGGTTCATATATCTCATTCGCTTTATTAATCACTCGAACAAAACTCAAACCAGGGTCCAGGAACATTTGAAAACCTCAACCAGTTTCTTTGCCGATGCCACATTGTTTTATCTCCTGCGTGAACATCATTCTTTACATGACGACGATGTTGGACAATCTGGGCAGTCTGAAGGTTACTAGACGCGCGCTTATGTCTCATATATCTGTCTTCCCAATACTACATTCGTGTAATTATTCACTCAGTTTATATTGCCATGATTTTTATCTCGTACACGACAGATCAAATGGCCAACAATACAACTTTGTCTTCGATAGGCAGCCTCCGGAAACGGTTACGAGATGGAGGGGGTGAAAGGGAAGGCAACGAGAGGCGAAAGGAGAAAAAACTTAAACGAATTCCGCCTGCCATTGCTGTTGTGACTGGTGGCATGAGGAGTGAAAACAATTTGGGGAGCATGTCTACAAATGAAAGCGCATCTACGTCTGTCTGTGTCCCAACAGCTGCCACAACCAATATTTCTACTTTCTCACCAACCATGTTGGGACAATCCCGCGCGATCGCCTACGCGAATTCTTCCACTTCTCTCGGTTCACTTGTCTTGCCTCCGTTAAACTCAACCGCCGACAGCAATACGAATGTCGGTGAAGAAGGGACGGTTTCGACGCCTACAAATGTTGGAAATCGGGTTGCGGATGATCGGAGGGGAATGACTGTGAATAATAGTACGAATGGGGCTATAACCACAAGTGCGAATACGTTGACATTCATGCTATTGCAAAATGAACTGTAAAATTACGAATCTCTTGTGTGACTAACCTACTTGCTGCATAATCTCGTAGTCACATCTGGCCCCACACGACCCAAACCCACTAGTCTAGAGTTGCAATTCTGGGAAATGGCTGGGATGTTGGATAACAGTATATTGGCTAGTTTGAAGTGAGTAATGAGGAAAGGTCAGTGCGAATAAATTATTGTCAAAGTTACAATAATGTTAATATGGGATTTCTGGTTGCAGAGAGGAAAATAGAGTAAAGCTTGAAAAAAAACGACCTGATTTGAATTTTGTGTCAACTGAGAAGGTAAGACGTCTTGAGAATAAAAAACTTGATGCATGGCAGTTTATCTCTTTATTGACGAGTTTTTTTTTCCGTCACATCTATGTAATTTCTCTTGACGCTTGCTTACATTTGGCTCTTTTCGTATATTTTTATAACTCTTGTCGGTCTCAAATATTCGCCGTTAGGCTCGCATATCAACACATCAAACTTCGCCGATAACGAAACCCGAAGTAGTACTCTCTGCCGCATTCTACGATCATCATAGTCCAGCTTCGCGCATGCAAGAATTTCTCGTACTTGGTAGTCAACCGTTAGCTGCTCTCAAAGATGCTTTTTATTGTTTAAAAGATTTTTATTCGGCTGAAACTGAGAAATCCGCTTCCAGCTATTTCTTAATCGAAAACACGTTTTACAATGACCTTCGAGACGAGGGCCTTCAAGACTATAGCAAGTATGTTTTGTTTATTCGTTTATATTTGCATTAGCACACAGAATTCAGGCGTTTGGTCCACCCAACTCCTAACCATTCTTTCAAAATATACTCAATTTTCCTCAAGAATAATAATAGATTGGCTGAGCCGTCAGAGCGAAGAAACCAAAGCAAAACTGGGCCCATATCGGAGTAAAACAATGCACGAAACTAAATTCGATGAATTGACAATAAGATTGAATCAACCATATTTGTTCTGTCATCGGGGCAATTGTCAGCATGCTTTAATATTTAGGGATTTGCGGTGAGTTTAGAGACGAGTGATGATAATGGTGCAACAACTTTTCCCGCCAATAATACTCAGTATCTTCTTTATAGTTTATTACATGATGGGGACGAGCAAGATTACAATGCATATCCCAAGGCTGTCTTTCGTTGTAAGATTTCGAGGAGTAAATGCAGAATGTGTCTCCAACGACCGGCTCAGTAAGTATGAGCGTGTGTGGTTTCTCCCCTTTCTCATTTGCTTTTTCGTCCTTTCTCACGCTTTTGCTTCTCTTGTCTAACTCATTTAATAGATTTACTACATTGAATGACTACTTGTCCGGCGAATGTCCAGCCTATTTCTGTGAGACATGTTATAATCAATTTCATTATGACGAAAACGGGACCCTGCTCTATGACAGTTTCCAGGTAAGATAATTAAAGTTCGTGGTTAATAACAGAAATTGATGTCCAATGAAGATGATACGAGCTAACGCGGTTTTTTATCTCCTTTGGATGCGTATATTTAAAGGTCTTCCCATACGTACACGAATAACATGGCAAAATGCAACTTAATATATTGATGGCAGAAACTGCCATAACACGATAATCACTTTAATTATAACTCTTCATAATAAACTTTCTCCCCTTCGTTATCTTAAATAAGCGCAAAAGCATAAAGTGCTCTTACGAAACTAGCAAAAATCACAAGTGTCACACATGGCTGGAGCGAGTTGGCACCATTGGAGTTACCACCATTATTCGATCCATCTCCTGTAGCTGTGTTAACAATTGCAGAACAGTTGGATGCAACGTCCTGCGGTTGATTCGAGAGGAAAAGAAATTAATTTTTGAGGCGAAATGAAATTTATCACTTCCCAGCACGGAAATATTAAATAATTGAGTATTTATTCGCCGCTTTCACAGTTATTTAGGTTATTGTTGATTATGACCAATAACCAACATGTACTTCTGGAAGCGGCGGATAAACATAAGATGGCGAATAAACACTCGATTATTTGTTTGTTTCAAGCAGAAAATTTTTTCTGCAGAAGTTGATGCTCTTTGTCTAAACAATGTACAGGCCGATAACATCCATACCACTCTACCTCCGTAGTTTAAATACATACCGTTGTAGGCGCATTCACATCCGTACAATTCGCTGAACTAGAAATCGTCTTCTTTTCCCCTAAGGCGACATTTCTAAACCATTTTCTTTGATATCCACTTTTGGGCAAGTTCTCATTGACCACATTTATCAAATCTTCCAATACAGCATCCTGCATTGGCACTGCTCGTTCGAACCAATCTCTTCCATCGCTCGGGCTAGTGATCCCATCTTCTCTGAAGATTTTTTTATTTTTGACAAACTTGTAGGGCGCGTCAGGCGTAAGTCCGTAATTGCTATAAACAGTCGAGATGTCGCTCGCAATAAAGGTTTCATCAATGATGATGTCTACAGTATTGATTGCGTTAAGAAAATCTGATGAGGTAGTGTATTTGAGTTGGGAAGTGTTAAAGTAGACGGCTCCAGCAGCTTCCGTTAATTGTTTTTTATATTGCGCATCTGCAATAGACCATGATGGTGTGTTGTTGTTGAAATCGCTTGGTGCATCATAGACAACCCACGCGAGAACTGGTGCGGTTGAATCTTTATTTCCATCTGTAGCTAACTGCCTAAAACAGGCATAGTTTGCAACGATTCCCTTCATAATTCCAATCGCGCGATCTTCAACGTTGAAGAAGGTTGAGTAGAATTTAATCCATTCGGCGCGGTTCAAAGAGCCGGGGTCTTGCTCGGGCGAAACGCTCACGGAATTGGGCTTAGCATCCGGAGTGGAAGCACCGATGGCAAGAGAAACCGTGCTAAGTTGAGTGGCAGCGTTCGCTGCAACTGGAGAGAGGGCGGTAATACTGCCATTGCCCTCCAGAAGTTGAACACATGGGGAAGAAATGAAGTCGCTCGAATCGACTAACGATATTTTTGATCTCAAACCGAGCATCTAAGAGAATTTGAGGAAGAGTTTAAAAGGAAAAGGCAATGATGTGAGTACGATCTTTAAACGACATGCGTTGAAATTTTCGTGACAAGCGATATAAAATAATCATCAACAACTTCATTAACCCTGGCACCAAGATATCTCTAAAATCTATATTAAATTACGTTCACCAATTATGATTCGACAACTTACATCGAGGAATGCCACACTGCTAGTGCCCAGAACCGCCACATTCTGCGCTGGCACTTGGAAAACTTTCGTTCCAGCCGGAATTGCCGTCGCAGGCGGTGCCTGGGTACCGCATTGGTACAACGCAAAAGTCTCGTTGGTATACTTGTTCGTGACAAGTTTATAGTACTTGAAGTATTGGATTGAGAACAAGGTGGCCGTTTCGACTAGAGTAGATGAAATCAGTACAAAAAAGACGGCAGGGGCGGCATTGATGAGACAGAATGTAATTACGATACAAATATTTTTCTATTATCGCTGATAGACATCACATCACTTCTATCTCAAATTGTGTCTCGCTACGATAACCTTATTTACTAACCATCAGCCTTTACGGGAAAGTAATCCGTATTTGGATCAAAGTTCGTAACACATTCCGCTGAATTGGTGCTCTGTCCGTCAACTCTCAAGCCCGCAAGCGCAATCAGCACGAAGACGCAAATAAATTGGATGTAGAACTTGTAGTATACATTCATTCCGTAAAAGCTCACTGGAGCTGTGAAGCGAGGACGTGGAACTGGGGGTGGCAAAGGCTTGCTCGGTAACATGATAAATTAATTAGCGAGTCTAGTGTTTTAATGTACAGATGTAATATACAGTAACGGATTTGATATTGAAAAAGCCGATTCGGGGCAAAATTTCAACAAAAGGAGAGCGTGCATTGTCTATATACACAATTTCTTGATTATCTTGTGTGAATCTCATTGGAGAATGGGGATGAAGGGAAGTGCGATCCGGTGTAATACGGTATAGCAATTTTTAATGCGGTTATTAAGAACATGATTTGGAACCAGTAAGTTAGGCATTCTATTCCATTTTCGGCGCACAAATTTTAGGCAGATAGATTTAGCTGCATATTTGTCTTACCTCTCTTTTAGTTAACCTGATTTAGCCAAGATGTCAACCATAAACAACGTCACAGCTATTAGCTAGCATTGGTGAGTAGACCTATTCACCGGCTTTATACAATAATCTTTATGTCTTTCCTCCTTTCTACAGCAAACCATTGTCTAACCCGCACAACTTGTGTTCTTCCTGTAGCTCATCCTATAGAGGTAAAAAGTTTTGTTATCGTGGGAACGACAGCTTCTTTTCCTCACCAAAAAGCTAAATTCCATTTGTCAAGCAAAATTTGTGACCCATCAAGAATAAATTTTGTTTGATCTGATTTTTCGATACTGTACCAATGTTTACGTAACTAGTGACTTTTTGGTGAACGCTGCAGATGTTACTCTGAATTACGAACTCACCGTCTAGTATATTCCGACTTGCGCTACTGGCACATAACGGCAGATTTACAAAGACAGAACCGTATCGAAAAAAGAAGCTTGATAATATTGTAGAGGGGAAGTTGTTAGAATGAGAATTTTTACGATTCGTTAATGTGTAAGAAGATTTTAGTCGTTACTATAAAATGCAAACTGATGATATCGAAAGTGGCATTTACTCGATTACAATTTGCCTGGCAGAGACATGTTCCTTGAATTGACCATATTAAAGGAATTTTGAATTCTTTATCGTAAACTCTTTGATTATGATACAGGTAATAGTTCGATTCAAATTGAGTTCAAGAACAGGTTTATGTGATTCTTTTTAACATTTCGGAATGGGGGAAATTTACAAAGAACATTAGCTCGAGTTAACGCAAAGCGAATCTTTATTTGAGCCCAAAATTTCGCCCAAATACCCCTAAATTTACTTTACTTTTTTAATCTATCAGTGCAACGTCTGATATTCAGTCACTGTCCAATGAGAATGGGATGAGAATTCATATAAATATACGCGTTCGTTTCTCGTAACACGCACATTCCATACCCCCACTCTTCCATTTGTTTCTCGTCACCATGTTCGAAGCGCGTCTAAGTCAAGGCTCCGTCCTCAAAAAAGTTCTCGAGGCTGTCAAAGAACTAGTGACAGATGCTAATTTTGACTGTTCCGAAACGGGTATCTCACTCCAGGCCATGGATAATTCTCATGTAGCTTTGGTTTCCGTCCTCCTCAAAGCCGATGGCTTCGACCCGTATACCTGCGATAGAAACATTCCGTTAGGAGTGAATTTAGGAAGTTTGAATAAAATACTAAAATGTGCGGGAAACGAAGATACAATTACGTTAAAAGTAGATGAGACTGGGGATACATTGAACTTGTTATTCGAGAGCCAAAGTAAGTCCTTTTGGAGTAGTTATGCGTGAGAGTACGTTCTATACGCGTTATCTTGACGCGACGCTTGTCGTTCAATCAACACAAATCCGCCCAATTGTTTAATTTACTCACCGGTTTTCTTTGTTGTTCTCAAGATAACGATCGATTCGGTGAATATGAACTAAAGTTAATGGACATTGATCAGGAACACCTTGGAATTCCTGAAACAGAATATGATGCCATTGTCGTCTTGTCATCGGGCGAATTTCAACGAATTTGCCGTGACTTGTCTGGGATTAGCGAGTCGGGTGAGTTTAGAGTTTGAGTTTTGATCATACTGAGGGATTGGCTGGATACGATGGATCGATGGACAAACAATGTGTTCTTAAATAGAGACCCTTTCGTTCATATAGTATTTATGAACAATATTGTCTTGCCTCTGAGTAACTGATACCATACCTGACATATTGACATTCAACCTTTCCCAACATCTTGCATTTCATTCCACCAGTCAGCATTTCAGTAACAAAAGAAGGCGTCAAGTTCCAAGCAAAAGGAGAAGTTGGAACGGGGAATATTACTCTTCGACCAAACAGTTCAGTTGATAAGGTATATACTTGAAAATTATTTCATCCGCGCGTGACAACAATATACATGATAGTGTGATTAGCATTCTATTGACATATTATCATTGCTAACTTCTCTGTCTCGACATGCTCACCAACTCGATATTATTGTTTGTAAACAACGTTAGGGCTCTGACTCAGTCTCAATAAAACTCACCTCTCCAGTCGACTTGACCTTTTCCCTAAAGTATCTCTCGAATTTCACAAAAGCCGCACCGTTATCGGACAAAGTCACGCTATGTATGGCATCGAATACACCATTATTGGTTGAGTATAATATGGAAGAATGTGCGCTTGTTAGATATTATCTTGCGCCTAAGATTGAGGATGAGGAGTAAGAGGAAGTGATAGAGGACGATTAATGACAAGAGACGCGTAAAAGGGGAGCAGTGGTGTTAATGATTATCAGCGAAGATTCCAAGTCACTTCTATTGTAAAATTTTGTCAATTTGAATATAATAAACTTTGTTTGTCGATTATACGCAAAAAGATGGAAGGCATGTTCGTCAATCATTTGGTTATCATTCAAACATTGCCCTATTATAATGAATTACAGTACTGTATATGTTGGAAGTCTCCATCGCACTCAGAACACGACAACTAGCTAGCAAAGGCTTATATTATGGATATCAAATCGCTTGGATGGCGGATGGAGGTGCAAGGTCCAGCAGGGATTAACAGCGACGGTCAATTAATCATTACGAGTCGCGAGATGCCGGTATTTCAACCGCTGCATGATGATAGAGAGAAAGATTGCTTCACCCCAGACGTCGCTCACGCTTTTGTGTGCCTTGAGGAGAATAAACTTCCGATCCGATCCTGTAAGTAAATGTGTCAACAAGGTGAACATGACGTCCGGAACATAAAATTCCAATAGCGACCTGTCTTTTGTGATTGGTATTAGCTTCTTTGGCAGGATTAACCATTGTAATTGTTTTAACCTTAAACAATCTGGTTTTAGTAGTAAAGACTCGTTATGATTATCTGTGTATAGAAAGATCATGAAAAATAATACATATGAGTGCTGGCAGTATATTGCTTATGCATGATGATATCTCTATTACTAAATGTAATCAAGCACGTCTTGCGCATGGGATATGCGAGCACAGGAAAAGGTTTACGCGTAGGACATCAAAGATTTTATCTATTATGAATATTACATGTTTTCTATTAGAATGCTGATACGACTATCTATTATTATTTGTATACGTTCTGTACTAAACCCTGATATTGGGATCAAAAGAGAGCAAGCATTTGGAGGTTGGAGCCTGTCTGATGATAACAGTTATACTAACTCTAGTTTGATTTGTGCTAAACAGTGAATGAAAATAGTATTATCACGTCCTCCGTCAATAACTCTTACATCACCAAGACCTGGCGAACCAAAAATGAACGTAAATCCATTACCCATCATCCATAGTACTAAGTACGAACAGCAAAAGCCGTAGATGAGGGAAGTAATGCACTCCAGATTAGAATGACAATTCCACAAAAAATTCCTAACGCGCTTACAAGTTGAAGAAGTCTAAATGCAAGTTTACGTAGTCTTTCATTAGGCGGGTTATTTTCAAATTTTTGCGGCAAAGTAACCATAAAATGCAATAATTGTGAAAGTATTTCTTCCGGAGGGTTAAATCAGTAATCATTGTGGAAATTGGTTTAGTTAAGGCTGCTCCAATAAGAACGTATTAGTAAATTTATTATTTTATCTTACGTCTACTGACCTATATCACTCGCCGGCGCTGTGTCATCATCGATAGCTGATTCTGTTGAATTGTATTAGTTAGTAAATATAATTATTTATTCTCGTGTTAAATAAACTGACCCATATTATTCGCCGGCGTTGTGTCTATTTGGTTTTTTTGTTCTTTTCGTTCTTCTCGTTTTCACTTGCCAAAGTATACAGGGCCATATAAATATAAATATACTGGTCTATAGTTCTAAAGGAGATAAATTAAATAAGTCTTTTAAAAAAAACAAATTGAATATAAAAAAATTGTGTAAAATTTTTCCAAAATTTGTTTTTATATTGTTTATGTGGCTCTACGAAATATGTTAAGTGCTTCAAGATTTGTAGTCTAGAAAATCATATGACGAATGTGTAGCTACGTTCGCGAACTTGAACGCACACAAAATATGACATCAATAGAAACCAAATAGAATAATAACAATACAATTTTTTGTTTCATTAATTTATTAAAAAACAAAACATATTCTTTTACTAAAAAATTAATAGACTTTGTTTTAGACCAAAAATTGTCTTACTAGAAAACAAAAAATAATAAATAAATAAAGATAATAAAATATTTTACTAAACTAATTTCTAACTTTTTGCCGAAAAACTAACTAACCGACGTTTGTTTAAAAAAAAAACAAAAAAAAACTGGTTTTGTTTTGCTAAAGAGCAAAAAACAACTCAACGTTTCGTTTGACTGGAAAACGAAGGAAGAAAATTTTTTTGCCAAAGTTACTACAAAACGAAAAAAAACCCCAACTAAATTACTGTCTACAAGGTGCGCATTTTAGGCTGAGGACACAACAAGGAAAATCACAGCAACGTGCTTCGAAAGAGTCTAAACGAGGGTCGCAACGTCCAAAATTAGGAATGCAAGAAGGTGATGGTGGCAGTGTGGACAAGATACTGTTGATTTTTCTCACTAAGTTGTGGTTGCGACAACACATGTGGTGGTGGTGAGCGCACAAGTATCAGTTACTATGCAATGTTTGCCATTGCCATAACCGTTACCAACACCACAATTTTGATGGCTAACTCGACAATCGGGGCAAACAAGAACAGTAGTGAAAACGGCTGTGCAAGTTGAAGAGGTTGTAGTGACAGCTGATGTCCTCGTCATTGTTGTTGTTGAACATTGTCCAGCATCAGAAACATTACTCGATGCCAGCAATACTAATAGGCAGAAAAAGAAGGTCGAAAAAGCTTTGAGAGATTGTCCATTCATCGTTAAATTATTTGCGAGTCAAGTAAAATACAATCGTATTTTATTGAAACAAAGGAATTTCCAACAGTTTATATAAGATTTTGTGTGTAATAAATTAATATAGACAACTGTAAAGGTCTATTAATAATTTTTTATAGGGTGAAGTTACACTGCGTGTATATTTGTGCAGTAAAACGCGACGCCTTGACATTGAGTGCTATGTTGCATTTATGGGAGTTTGTATTACTTTCCGTCGGCTCAAAGTAGAGGTCTTAACGAAAGTTGTCTTCTGTTGTTGCAAACGCACAGTATAGTAATGTTATTCCTGAACGCAAACTTGGTTTTATTCGTGGCTAAAGAAAAAAAGATGGTCGTAATATAGATACACTAATACAGTCACGCCTGTCTATTTGCATAACGTTTATTTGCATAAAGGAGCGTCGGTCTCCCTTAGTGGGACCTATTAGCTATTTGCATAACGTGAACGTGCATATGCATCAAAGATGTATTTAACTCTAGTAGGTCCCACCAACGTATATTATACTATAAAAGGAGTTATCAAAAAATCGTTATTATTGTGGCATAAAAAAGTTTCAACTGCATAAATATTCACGCCACTTATTGGGGTAATTCTTTGATTATTTTGTTTTTTTAAACAGATTTGATAGTTTTGGTGATTGCTTAATGCTGCAATGTAGTGTTCTTCATCAGAAAATGATGGCGATAACATAATGTACAAGAGGATACTAATAAAATTTTGAGTATCAAATCATGTGATAACGTATATTTGCATATTCTGTCTATTTGCATAAAGACATATCGGTCCCAACAGTATGCAAATAGACAGGTGCGACTGTATGTTTAACATCAACGAAAATCCTCATAACTAAAAAACGACGAGCCATCACTCCTGACAGGGTGAAGTTACACTGTATTTATACTGTGTTGTAGGGTCCAGTAAAACTTCATAATGCGACGCCTTGGCACTGAGTGCTACGTTCAACTCTCTTTATAATGACCTTCTTTATACAGACTGACCACATGTGCTTTGCCACTTCCAATCATTATTAAAATCAACTGTTTATGCCGACCAGTCTTAGTGTTTATTGGTCGATTAATAGTACAATTGATAATCATTTTTCTCAACTACAATCAGAGTTATTTCCTTCCCAAATTAATAAAGAAAATGACAACTTCATATAATGCCTCGGGTTGTATTTCAGCTAGGACTAGAAGTGCAAGCCTTACGAGTAGTGCTATTACTGTTTCTAATCTTTCTGCACCCGCAGTTATCGAAGAAAAAAGTCACGCGTTTAAAAATATGTCTTGTAATAATTCGATTAGTTCAAGTATTTCAACTATTTCAGCTGCCTCTCATATGCAACCTACTCGACTTTGACTGACCTCTTAGCCAAGCCAGGGAATGTTTACTTGGAAGATATTTGGAAGTGAGAGAGGACGATATTAAGCCAATTATTATTGCTGAAAATGTGTCGCTCGAAGTCTATGTCAAATATTGTAACACGGAACGAAAGCTTCCGGTTAAAATTTGCCTGGAAATAGCTTATTATTATGAAGTACCTCTTACGGATTATGCATTGGTAGTGGGCGAAATCTTTGTTTTGATATGTACCTGAATAATTAGGAGGATTACAGTGTGGCACTTGCTTAACCGACGTTTGACTCAATCAGTGCAAGTGTCGTACAAAAGTCTATAATGAAGGTAAACAAATAATTCACGAATCCATTTCTTCAAGTGATGTCTTTATTTTATCAAATATTTATCCGATAACGGAAATTATCTGAACTTGTCGGGAAAATTGAACGGTGCCTTTCAGTTGGCTACATGGTGTGCTATTAAGTCGCTATTGGAGCTTTTTTAGCATAGAAGTAAACCAACTTGCATGTTTTCAACACGCTCGTAATATTAAATTAAATGATTACTGCACAGCGTAATCCTAGTGTCCTTCAGCAAATGTTTTAGTAAAAACGAGCTCCATATAAAAAAATTGTTAATTTTATTTATTAAATGTGTGGGATAAAGATTATAAATAATTTAAAAAAAGTACATGACAAATTTTACGGTTAGTGTTAGGTTTGTAGAATATGCACCATAGTGGAGTCAATAAAAATTAAAAGCAAGAACATTAATAGTCCTTACAATCATACATTATTAAGTAAAAACATACTTTGACTATATAATTACATGCAGAATTTGTATGTACGTTATATAATGCGTGTCCATTATGTATCTTCATTCTTTAAATCTACGCCGGCGTTTCATGACAGATACAAAGGCTAGATTGACAAAGGAATAAAAAGTGGGCTCATAAAGATGAAAGACAATAGTTATAAAACATATAGTAATATACATTTTTTTTGTAATTTGCGAAATTATCCCTTGTGCTTCAGGGCGGTTTTGCACCAATTCAAATTTTTGCAATCCTTTTCTATTTGCTTTTGCACTATTATAAATACGTTCTAGTTTATTGACTCTGGATATCAAAAGTTTAATTCACCTTGTAGAAACTTTAATCTTACCCCGTCTACTTTATTTCTACTTTACAATATATTAATATTAATACGTACGGCATTTAAAATTAGGTGTAGCCTGTAATTGGGTAATATATAAAGAACAGTTGAAAGTACATTTCGAGCTTGCATATTAATTAAAACGCACTCCAATTTGCGTAGGAACATTTACATTAAAGTATTGGAAAAAGTTAAGTGAAATACGCGATAAGCTCAGGGGTTATAGCGCAAAGCAGGTTGCATTATGTATCCAGACGTCGATGTGATAGTTCTGAGGCAAATCTTTCGGTTTAATTAAGAACTGGAAGTCAAACTCGGTATCTTTTTTGACAGGACAATGTTTATAAAGTTCACAAACGTTGCCGTTGACTGGCAGATAATAGTCGTTATCGTCGTAAATAACGACTTCAACAGCAGCTTCGGTAATGTCAATTGGCGCGGTTCCGGAAATGTCGAAAGTAACGCCTTGGCAGAAACAATAGGATCAGGTGATAACAATACGGAGAGAAGCGGCACGTTAGGCTCACATTGAGTGAATTGAGTAGCTCGTTTAGTTAATCCATGAGGAGTAGCATGAATTACTGAAATTGTAGCCAACACAAAGAATAAAAAGAAAATTGGGTGTTTCATGGTTTTTGTAGTTGTTATAAGTCAATTGTAAGTTTTCGGTTAGATACAGTCCAACATGCTACCATGCTATCGCTTTTATGAGAAAAATGGTTTCTTGAATAATATTTTATAATATACAAAGTCGAAGCCTAATTTATGTGTAATGATATTACTTTAATATTATCCCATCACCATAATCATGATGTTAATTATGAACAACATTTTTCCCAGCATCGCCATCAAAAATTTACGGACACGTGATTATTTATATATTTAAGATATGAGTTTAACATAAATTTAGTATAAATTAAATTTTGCTTCTATAATTTCACCCACTGCAGTCATGTGTCCGTACATTTTTTGATGGTGATCTCTCTCTCTCTCTCTCTCTCTCTCTCTCTCTCTCTCTCTCTCTCTCTCTCTCTCTCTCCTGGGGTAGTTTATGAACAACGCGGCATGATCGAGAATATTTTCTACGTTTCCAATATCAGGGACCAAATTCCATAATAAAATCCAGCTTATCGTCTCATGGATTGATTCACCCACTCCAAACAACTTTGATAATTATAACTGCAAATACCATACATATAATGTCCATTATTTTAATTTTTAAAATTTTATGGCAAAGTTCTTTCCTAACTACGAATTCTTTGACATGTTTTTCTGCAGTCTTTTATGTCATGCGGTTTTCTAGATTCCTCATTTTTTAACTCTTTTTCGAAATCTGCTTCTGTCTCAGGGTTTTCACACAACACTCCCTATTCCTGCTCATTTACATTCATTTTTAGTAAAAAAAGTCTCCAGAATAGTCAAAATTGAAAATGTCTAGTCTTTTCGCGCAATCTTTATAAATACCTTCAGTTTTCGATACGTTTTATAAGCACATTTTGCATATAAAAAAGACATTGCTTTGTCTTCATAACGAAGCTTTTAGCTTATTTAGAATACTGTACTTTCTAACATGTGGACGGCAGTTATTCCGCCCCGAACGCATCTGCAAATAAATTTATCCCACCTTTGATATCCATTGCCAATTAACCGATAAAAAGTATTACAATCCTTGTATTAAACAAATTATTCATAAGTCGAAAAGTAAGAATGAAATATATATTCTTAACGATTGTTGGCTACGATATAATATTAATATCAAATAGTTTATTCAGAGTTATCGCGATTGGTAAACTGTTCTAGACTGTTATATTATTGAAAACCAAATTTGTAATATTAAAACCAGAAACATTAATTTAAAAAACAATTATAACTAGCCCAAAAATATATAACTACCCACATTAAAAGAAGGCTTTATCAAAGCGTTAACAACGCTAATAAATGAAGAAAAAAGCATTTCTCACTGTTATCGAAAATTTTATCGATTTAGGTTTCTATGGTTTTTTGCCGGTAATATTACTAATAAAAATGCTAATTGAAAAAAAAGCATTGAAAAATTGACATTGTAATTGAAAAAATAGTTTATAGTTATTGAGACAAATGGTGATTCATTGTCCACCAATTAAATAGAAGACAGATAAAGTTACAGCAAATGATTATGGGGAAGAAATCTGTTCAAGTACTCTAATTAGGATCGTAGAGTGCCTTTGTTGATATTAATATATTTTACACTGGTTCTGAGACAATCGTTGGTCGTCAAGAAAGAATAATATTTTGATATTTGGCCAAAAATATTCTTAGACAAACGTTGAATGATTGCAAAAAAAAGCAGACAAACAAGATATTTTGAATATCTGTGTTTATATAAAAAAAGTAATTCCTTCGGGAAGTCGGCGAAAAAGATACGCGATTGTGCGTAGTAGTAGCCAGAGATCGTCCAATAGCCGAGGGATGATATCACAGACGGCACAATTTTTCCCCGATATTCCGTGGCGCATGTGGCGCATAATGGCGTTAACAGCCGCTGATGCAAAACATCGCGTACGAGTTTCATCATTCATTTCCATGGACACAGAAGAATTGATCGAGAATACCACCGAACAAGATCTAGAAAGCATAAAGGGTTTTCTGCGGAATTCGGTACACGAGTGTTCCCAGAGGGGCTTATATTTTGCCGCTAAATGGTAATGACAAATTATAGTGGATAGAGTTCGAAGACCTAGAGCTAAGCTATAATTTTAAGGAATTAATATAATTCAACCTAGATTTGGTCACTTCTTGCGTGTTTGATTCATTATCCGTGTTATTAACTAACCGTTACTATCTGTTTAACTGTTACCTTTCCTGTAAGACGGCTCCTTCAATCAATTTACTTTCTTTATCTTACTACAAATTTAGGGCCGCTCAAACATTAGCATCCATCCCAAAAACTACCACCACAACGACTACAGCCACAACATCATCAACATCATTATCGCAATCGTTATCCAGCTCTCATCCGTCCTATTCCGTCACAGATGAAGAAGAACAAGACAAATATCTGCTGGCGAAAACATATTTCGATGTCAAAGAGTTCGACAGAGCTGCTTATGTCTTGAACGGCTGTGTGGGCGTCAAGCAGAGGTTTCTGAGAGTTTATGCAAAGTATTTAGCTGGAGAAAAACGGAAAGAGGAGGACAATCATGATATCATGAGTGAGTAAGCGTGGGCAGAGAACTGAACTAGAGGTAGCGTAAGAAAAAATAATGAATTGGCGGCCGAGATGAAGACGTTGGAAGGATGATAGGCGTAGAGACAATATTGTAGAGGGTTTTATGATCCAAAAGATTGCTCAGATTGTCTTTATTATATGTCGTTGCTAATCGTTCACTACTAATGTTTAAACATCAAGGTCCGCTTGATGATCCAAAGGCGGTTAACAAGGAACTGCTTGAACTTATTGATGAACTTGAAACCTGGTACAACAATGGAGAAATGGATGGCTTTCTACTGTACATGTGAGTCAAGTGGAAGGAGAAAAAAGATTATAATGATCCAACCTTCCATTGTATCGGATTACGTGTTGGTCAAAAATTTTTGTAATATTGTTATTCATCTAATAATCACGGATTTCTCTCACGTCCCTTCTCACAACCCAGCTATGGTGTAATTCTCCGTCAACGCTGTGCACAATCAAAAGCGACAGAAATTCTCTTAAAATCAATTAATGCGTACCCATACAACTGGAGTGCGTGGGTTGAGCTTGTGGGAACATTTGCTAATCAGAGTGCGGTATTGTTTTAATGAATTATCTGAGAGGGAAAGAAAGATTAGGACTTTGGAGAGAATTATTATCTGAAAGAATGCGTTGGATTCGGCTTGGGATATCATGATATTTTTTAATAGAATGGGATAAGCCGTAACATAGCCTGTATAATTCCCAACTTACACTTTTACCCTTTATACTTGACTCACAAGGCAAAACACATAAGCAGCCATCTCCCCCAGTCGTTCATGACCAAATTTTTCCAATTGTATTGCGCCGTGGAATTGCACGATAATGCCAAGAATTTTAATCAGATGACTGAAGAAGTGCCCAAAGTGTTTGAAAATAATAACTTTGTTAAGACGCAGAAAGCTATCTATGCCTATCATAATCAAAGTTAGTAAAAAAAATATGGAGAGGGACGTGAAATATTAAGTGGTGTATTGGTCTCTCTTTTAAATTCACTCATCCGTTTCTGAAATCGCACAGATTACGCAGAAGCAGAACAAGAATTTGACTCTCTCATCGAATCAGATCCATATAGGCTGGATGATATGGATATATTCTCAAACGTATTATATGTCATGGAGAAGAAGGCTAAATTAAGTTATTTAGCACATATGAGTTCTGCTACAGATAAATATCGATCGGAAACCATGTGTATTGTTGGTAAGATATAAGAATTGGTCAACCAAGAAAATTATTAGAGAATAAAACATAGTACACATTTATATTCATAAGCTATTACATTACCAATTCCCTCTCTCCCCTCTCTCAATTTTGAAAATCTTAGGAAACTACTACAGCTTAAAATTCGAACGCGAGAAGGCAATCTCTTACTTCAAACGTGCCCTCCAGGTGAACCGTAACTGCTTGACCGCATGGACATTGATGGGACATGAATACGTTGAACTGAAAAATACCCATGCTGCTGTCGTTGCCTATAAGCGGGCTCTTGGTACGATTTTTTTTTTTTTTTGAGGAGATAATTGTGTGGGGTGAAAAGGAATACTCGTCATTTTGAAGTCATCATTGGCGTAATTGTTATCACGATTTGTTTGATTTCGCGTTCTTTCCCGTATTTAATTTCTCTTTCCTTTCGTAGAGGTTAACCCTCGTGACTATCGTGCATGGTTTGGATTGGGACAGACATATGAATGCTTACAGATGCCGTTTTATGCAATGTATTATTATCAACGCGCTGTCGTCCTACGGTAACGTGAATCATTGTGTTGCAAGAATGAATAATCGTCAAACAATTGATACTTTTTTATTGAGATTGCGTAATATTCTTAATTAAAACAAACGTGTCTAGCTAATCGCTCTTTCTGTTTTGCTGATATGCTTTACATTACTCTTATTGATTTATTTCTTTGTAATGTTCTATAGGCCATCCGATGCACGAATGTGGGGTGCTCTAGCAGCTCTATACGCAAAGCAATCTCTCCAAGTGGAAGCAATAAAATGTTATCAACGTGTGCTAGGCTGTACCGACAATGACATAGAATCGTCTACGGCAGCAATTATAAAGTTGGCGCGATTGTATGAGTCATTGAATCGGGATAAGGCAGCTAGCTACTTTGAAATGGTGTTACAGCAGAAGGCCCGACAACTAGCTGTACGTAAGAGGGTGGGATTGGAAAGAATGAAAATAGCGATTTAAGAGAGTGTTTAGATTTGGGCTGAAAAGATTGAATATTGACGGAGCCATATTAACGACAAATTTAGACGGTCGATGAGGATGAAGCCGAACATGCGCATATATTCTTGGCATATTACAAACGAGACAAGGGCGATATAGCGGCGGCGACTTTACATGCTCAAGAAATGATGGAATATGGTGACGCGGTAATGTTCATGAATTTTATTTGTTTTTTATCTGTAATTGCACTAATTGTGTGGCTTAGTTTTTGTGCTGCCGAAGTTGTCAAAATATAACGATTCATCTTACGGTTGAATTTCGATTGAAATAGGCAAAGGAAGAAGCAAGAAAACTAATGAGCGAATTGAACACACGACAAAATGCTCTCCCATTTAGTTAATATCCGCTTTTTGTCAATTCCAATCAAAATAAAATTGCAATGTTCTTATTGTATGAGTTCGGAAATTGTTATTCAACTCTTTACGAATTGTTATTATTCTACTAATTAATACATTGTAGGAAGCAGTAGCACAAATTATTCGTGAATACATAGACTATCATATTACTATTACCTAATAACCGCTGATGACACATTGTATCGATGTTTCTAAACAATGTATTTGGTGACGGCTGTTATTGTTACTAGTTTTTTTTCCTTTCGTTTGCCAACAAGTGTGCTGTAACGGGAAGCTCATATTAGCAAGTTGTCAATGGTATTGAATAAAGTGCTTTACATTCTGATCGGCTATTCCCAATAATAATAATAATAATAATAATAATAATAATAATAATAATAATATGTGTGCTATTAACCTATCAGAAATACAAAAATTGCAAATTTGATCATCATTTCCGAATATTAATATATTGACATTCTGAACGTGGCGAATTATTGTTTAGGTGATGGTTATTGAACAAAACATGCACCCCTTTTGATATATTTTAGGTAATAATTATTTGAGCCTTTTATAAGAAGCGATTTTGACTTGTGCTCGTATGCAAAGACTCTTTCCTAATATATAAAATCTCCTGAAGTCTCGAAATAAGTACAATTTATTTTGACGAGATTATGTTAACTGCGTTTCGCTTATTAACATAATATTTAATTAGACAACGTATGCATTACTATTTCAAATTGCGATGTGGGGGGGGGGGGGGGGGGTAGGTCAAAGCTAAATATCTTCTTTTATTAAATCAGCAATCGGAAGTATCTGACTACGATGTTGGGCATCATCTTGAAAAGAAAATACGATATCATGATTCCTAAAATTTTCGGTACAAATTGACTTGTGAGTAACAGCGTTTATCAAGTCCTCAATTAAAAGACTGCAAACGTATCAGAAGAGATGTATCAATATATAACCCGACTGATTTGAGTGTTGCGATATTCCTATTTAGTGTACAACTGAATACCATTTTGGGACATTCATAGTAAGAGTGTTGTATCACAACCGCAGTGCTTTATTAGTCCCAATTCCTTATCTTGCACAAACGATAGGCAGGTCGAAAACATCGTATAAACAATGTCACTTATTGGAATGACATCCTAGTTTTTTGTCGATCACTTTTTTGAATGAACTGTACATGTAAGAATATATACGTTAACACATGCCTTTTGAGCATATACAGCGTGGAAACCTACCGTTGAGCAAACTTTTATTACAAGAAGGGTTATAATTATTATTGTTGTTGTTATTATCCATGATGTTAATATTGTTTGTGGACGACATCATCGTGTGATTTTAGGCAATACTAATACATAGTAATAGGCTGTCCAATTAGGTACATAGTATAGGCTGTTTAATTGGGCACCTGGTACATAGTGATCGGCAAATTCTACTTCCATTACAAGGCAGTATCGCTATCGCAACGTTTGTCCCGTTTGTCACCCTCCCCTAAAAATCTGTGAATATTGCTTAGGTAGCATAAATCGACCATTTCAGGAATCAATTCTATTAATAAACAAACACATATAGTTACCTGAGATTAAGAATACGAAGAAGAAATTAACCTTAAATTCTACTCATTTTCAAAGCAGTTGCTCAGACTCACCGTCCATTGTCTCCTCAATATTACGAAGATTATGCGCATAAAGTGTACAGTTTACCGGGAGATGATGGACATGTGTTTCAACCTTGTGGTTGCTTTGCACTTTCCGAACATTCTCGAAAAGCAACGACTTGCCGTGTTGATTAGTAAACCCAATATGTGGGTCACACATGATATTTTTTTTCTTCATAGATAAAACTTGTTATAGTTTAGCTATTCCCAATTGAACCCGGTATGAGATATTTCATATACGAGAACGCCGGGGGAAGATTAGACCTTGTACTAACTAAATCATTCCTATGCGGCAAACAGATGCATATACATGCAAGCTTTGATATTGCTTACTAATAAAATCTCTTGCTCTTGGATAAACGTTCTCGAATATTACTGCCAAATGATATATTGTATATATATATAATATATTTCGTCAAAAGTAAATAACCGGAATCCGAATCTCGAAAAGACAAAGTTTTGTAATACCTTTCCGCAGTAATATTTACATAACTAACATACGTAAGCCCAAATTTTTATATAAGCGACCTCTTCGTCTTGAGTCAAACCACAAAAAAATTTCTTACACACGCAGGTTTAATAGTATCAATAATACTCTCTTTGTTACATATAACAAATAGTCCAACATGCTAGACTATGATAATTACATGAAGTACGTTACCGATAAGGTCAGAAACTTATCCCCAGCACAAAGGGATGAGCTGCACGTAACAGCCGGCGAAGTTACTAACCTTGACGGCGCTAAGCGGAGAAAGAAGCCTTGGCCTTCAAGAAGCGCCGAAACTACGAAAGTTAGATACTGTTTCGCTCTGTTTGCTCTAAAGACAAAGGTTGGCGGAAGCAGAACCAAGGATATAAATAAATTCCTTGTACAAGTTTATGTCAACAAGATAATTCTTGGACACTGTTCGAATATACTGAGAGAGTTGGTATTTAATACTATAATGTTAGCATTTCAATAAGAATTTTCTTGTTATAATTGATGATAATAATGTGTTCTGTAGATATGGAATACTGAGTGACCGTTCATGGTATTTAATAACAGAATACCCCGAATATGGGAATCTCTGCGAATTTTTAAAGAACGAGAAAAATGCATCTCTTCTAAGCTGGGAATGGAAAACTAGACAAGCATGTAATATAGCACAAGCGCTTTCTTTTTGTCATAGCAGAAATATTTTACATCAAGATGTCAGAAGGTAAGTTAATGTCAGCGATGATGACAGATGGCGATGTTTACAGAACGTCTATCTGTGCTTCCGTTATGAACTCTCACTTACCAAAAACTTTTTCATAGTCCAAACGTAGTTATTAATCAATTTATGACGGCAAAGTTGACAAATTTTGGGTTTCAAACGATAATTCATGACAACAAATGCGTCTATGAAGAGGGCAACCAGAAAATTAGATGGTTGGCTCCCGAGAAACTTAAGGACAACAGAGTACCATACTCTAGGGAGACAGATGTATACAGGTAATCAATCGTTGGTGTTAGAAAGGACAATTTTCTCCACCATCATACTTGTTATGTAGTGGAAGCGCTCGTTAATCCGATTGCTCTATGTCTGACTCTTTTCATATACTTTTATATAGCTTTGGTATGTTATTGTGGGAAATATCAGCACATAAAATACCTTACGAGGATGTCCTGGACCCTAGCAAAGTGAAAAAACGAGTAGAGGATGAACAGCGACCTGAAATTAACCCCGATACACCCTCGGAATTTGCTAAAATAATGACATCTTGTTGGAAACAGAATCCTCATGATCGCCCGAAAATGGAAACGGTGTGGGAAAGATTAGGAAGTTAAGATATATGCGTAATCATTAATGACGACAATATCTTGTATATAGTTTCCAAATTTTTTATGATATATTCGTATATACATTGTACAATAAATAATGTCTACAGTGAAGGTTGGGGTGGGTTTGTGATGATCATTCGTACATGTATAATATTTCGGAACCTATATTTCCGCAGAACGATCATGCATGCATTGGTAATAACATTAGACAAAGTATCGAAATTATATACTAATTATTTATTTCATATATATTGTACATTAGCTTTTATTTACCTAGTAATAAAAAAAGAAGACGTTTTATTGGTTTGATAAGCAGGCGCCCTTACCCATAATTGATTCTTTGCTACTTATCCATTGTAATTTTGTAGATTTCTTTATGCAAAGTCTGACTGAATTACTTCCTCTTTGACGACGTCATTGCATACCTGTCTGAACAATGTTTGATGAATAATCTTTCATTGATTGCCTTGGGAAGCTATCTTGCTGAACTTATGTGGTATAGAGCAATAAACATCCTCACTGACGGACAACTGGAAGCCATTGTTAGAATACGCTAAGAGTGAAAAAAACATTACATGAGCTACCATAGCTAGAATTCTGTAAACTATTACTGCTACAACGTAGATCGATAATGTCATTTGGGCATACACAGAAAGAACGTTCGTTAAGTCAAGTCATAAGTCCGTTAATTCGTCTAACTGATCGAGATGCTAAATTACATCCGTAATGTTTCAAGACATAAATAATGTATCAACATTGTTTCTTCATTCGCATCGTAACAGTAAGCCTGACAACATAAACCAATTTGGAACCTGAGAATAACCCAAAAATAACATAATACAACATTGTATTCTCGTAGGAATCGGAACATGTAAGTCTAAATTTTACTAATAATTATATGACAAATCTATCCGAAAATCCTTGTCAGTAAATGTTATTATTATGCGGCAATAGTTCTTGTATTGTTTTGAACTATTAGTTTATTGTGAGCTTGCAAAGATTACTACTACAAATATGTGTTGGCTTTTTTGCAATTCGATGAATAGATTAGATTACACTACATGTTAAACATTTGCTTCAACTATAATTTAACGAGTCCCTATGTATATGGTGACTGAGCACCAATACTAATTTCTTTTTAAGTAATCATAGATACTTCATTTATAGTTCCAGGACACCAAAGGAGGTCTGACTGTTAATGATGAGATGAAGCAAATGAAAAAATTATTAAATTCTGTTGCTGAGATTGTTCTCAAAATCTCATTCAGCAAGAATTAGATAATAAGACTGCTGACTGAGAAAAAAGAATTTATATTTAGGGTAAATATAAAGGATTTTAACCAAAATGCGGTAGGATATGAGATAATGATATCCCAGTGTGGAAACAATGGGAAGATACATGGAAGAGATTTATTAACAGTGTTATTGTTCGTCACTTTGACCAAGTTTTCTCACAAATAGTTCTAAACGTTGCCCGCATCCATTAAGGCATAACTAAATTTACTGGCAGTTTTTCATACCTCCTATTGTCAAAGTATAAATTCACATCCAAATGTCGCGCTAAACTATCTGATAAACGAACAAAACAGTAGCCTTCTAAGCAATACGTAATGAAATTAAGTAAATTAAAATTTGCGATTGTTAAACAAGTTTATTTCTAAAAACAATTATAAGAAATTTCTTAAAAAACGCGTCAAATTTTATAGTTCTTTCATAATTAATATACTCATATGGTTATTATTGTTGTTCTAATCATCTTACGGTTGCTGTTGATGAAGATACGATTTACAGTGTTTCATTTATATTGCTCAAAACGGAAACATTTTTGATATGATAAAGTTTAGCGAATGCTTATAAAGTAAGGTGAGACGCCATTTTTAGACCCCCCGTCACGAACTTAATTTTGTGTTAACAATGTGCAAATTTATAATGCTTTTTGTGAGACTAAGACGTAAATTCGTTTCGTTCTGTATTACTGGACGCAATTCATGACACGCCTTTGTAACAGGACGTAATCGAGTGTTCGTGACACTAACTTTGCATATACGAAAATCGATGAAGTCAGTCAGCTTCAGTTGGCCGCCATCGATATTCAAGATTTTACTAACAAAGAACAAGAATCGAAAATAAAAAAATTAACTTTATTGGAAGCCAAATAAACTGTGGAAACCCCCTATCTTAATTGGACCTCATGAACAGATTAGGGATACTACAGTTTGTTTATTATTTAGCAAAAAATGAGAAACAAATAAAAGTTTCCGAATTATTAGTTGTAGAATAATTAACAAAAGCTAATTATGATCAACCAAAACACTTAGCGCACTTCTCATGTCCGTCCTGAAGCAAATTTCACTGCAACGGTAGTGTCAGAGAAAATTGGTTTGTTTACTATAAAATTATCTGATTAGGTTGTGCAGGCTTTGAAAAAGCCAAGTCTCCAAATTCATCTCTGAAGCCAAAGAAAAATAAAGCAAACTGATTAGAGTTAGAATACTAATGAATGAATATTATCATAAAAGGTATTCTTGCCTTTTATAATCCAAAGGGGGTGGAGTTAGCATTAAAGTAAAATAACTAAACCTTATCCTCTAATTTCATTTTCTTGGTTGTAGTTGGCGCAGCTGAGTGAAAACAGTAATGATAATGAGCAGCAACAACAAAACAACAATAATAATTGAAAGGTAAAGACTGAATAAAATAAGAGATATGCAGTATTAATATAGGCAATTGTGATAAGGTACTAGTACTGCTAACGAGTTACTTTTCCTGATAAACTCACAAGAGAAACAACCACATTACCATTACTATGTCACTCTACTACTACGTTAGCTCCAAGCAATATCTTTTTTTTTTGTCAGCTAATAAATCTCCTGCTTATGCTGCTCTAACACTCCTCTCTTACCTTGCTGAATTAGAATTCTTGCCTCTTGGAAGACTGCATACTTGCGTTGCCACAATTCCAAATATATTATCGCGGTTTTCTGCAGGACATGCTCCCACTTCACCAGCATCTCCCTTGTCTCTCTCTCATCACTGTCAAGTTTGTCTGTCAGCATCCTGCTGTTCAACTCCTTTAACAAGTCACCGTGACCATCATTATAAAATTTTTTTAGTGCACTCTTTGCTTCTTTCAGCTTATCCTTCGCATTGTCCACTGTCTTCTTGTATTCTTCCAGTTCGTTAACAATATCCATGTCAAGTGACAGATTTTTTGGGGGCAAATTACGAAAAAATTTGTACGCATTGGTCGCACGGCATAATAATAAGCAGCTGTTTCTCACATATTCTTTTTATTTTCTATCCATAGCAGTATTGATTTAACGCTTTAATCTTGAGATTTGTTATATTTTTCACTGTAAAATACCTATTCTCTGTAGATAACCGTAACTTTAGAACATAACTAGTAAGAGATTTACAAAAGAGTAATTTTCATTTATGCAGCACGGTCTCTTTATTAACTAATTAGAGAGAGTTGTTTTAAATGTAACTCTATTTTCTGTCATCGATGTCCTGATAATCTAGATTTTTGGTATGCATTTTTTTAACAATAGCCCAAAGATTTAATAAGATTAAAGGTCTGGATTATATCATATTAGTTCATAATGTTGAGGACATATTTTTTCAAGAAATGTTTAGCAAGTTGTCTAATGTGGTTGAAATTATTATAAAAAGATTGAAAAGCCAACTTATTAGCATCCGCGTGTCTTTCTTATTTTTTCAAAATTTAACAATAATTACAGAATATGTTAATGAGTTTGAAAGTTGGGTCACGTGTTAAGAGTAATTATCTTGCTGAGCCAACATATGCTGTCCAGTGTTTTCTTCCGTACCCGTTATACATTGTATTATCGTGTAGTTAGATCCATCCTCAGCGTTAATATCTCTTTTTCCACAGTAATGTTTCTGTTAGATTCTCATAAGAATATCCGTATTTCGCTTCGTACCCCATGACTTCAATACTCTACTAATATTTTAACCCGAGTTTTCCCTCATTGACGGGATAACACTTTTGGCTAACAATAATTTGCCGAATAAGTATCAAACCTTTTAACGAGCTTGTTAAACGCTCGGCTTTTATGCGGTATATCGTTTTACTGCTACGAACATTCCTTTTGTATTAAACATAGAGTTTATAATTGCGGTTTTACTTGTTTTGTTGGTTACAAATAATACTGTCAATTCAAAGAATTATATAATAATTGAACCTTCTCATGCTTTGTTATTAATCGCCATAATTTTAACGAAACATCGATATAAGTATTCCCTAACCTGTCTTATTAGTCATTAAGAAAACCTTACATAAAATATTGATAGCAACAAAGAACAAATAACTAAATAATACACGAGTTCTACCAACTGTCACCTGTTGAATAATTTACAGTAGTTTAGATAGCAAACAAGGTGTTACTTATGCTTGTTCCTATGGTCGTAATAAGACATATAACTGCCAATAATTTCTTTACATACTGTATATACTTTCATCGGTAAGTCTGCATATTAAGTTGGTAAAGTTCCATCACTAAACATCGACGCCGTTGGCGTAGAGACGAGCAAAATTTCGTCACTGATGCCTAAATTCTGCACCAGATATGTACAAGGAACTTGATTAGCGTTGTCGTATGTCGTCCTGGAAAGCATCGACACTTATCCACGATATTTACGAGAACGATACATGACATGCCGTTTATCGTAATGAAGTCATGTGAGAATTGGAATAAATAAATCAGTACGCGTTTATAAAGGAATTACCTTATTATTATGTTTAGTGATACATTAAGGCTAGTTAATATTAATATGTCAATGTCTTATAACAAGCGGCGATACATTATCAATCTAAAGTCCCGTCGCAATGAAAGATCAGTCTATATGCTTTTTATTTACTCTTACAAAAATAGATGTCATTAACGGGTTCTGTTCATTTCCCCGACAATTATTTTCCGAAAAATATTCCGACACCAGCCTGTTAATAGTAATATTTATTGTCCGGAAAATAAACAGCTCCCTACAAACGAACAGCCTATGCTTATCCACAATGTGGACGTGACCGGTGATACTCTCGAGATCAAGACGCTTATTTATCAAGTTGAAGTACCTAAATTGAGAACATCACTTGTGTCGAGCCCACTGCTGCAGAGGCTTGGCTAACCTCTACTCCTGCTACAATATCGTTGACATACGCTAGTCTTAGTAATAAACTTAGTTTCAGTCTAGACCAATCATATATAAAAACAGCTAGACTTGCAATTTTGAGAAACTGATTGATGTCGCTTGCTTCGAGTAACGATGTTTAAACCAGGATAGAGAAAAGAGAGTGGTTAATTTGCCCAGAACCCTATGTCAACATCAATCACTATAGTGCTATTAAGTTGACAGTAAACTTGAAACTACTGATACAATGTTAGTGAAAAATCCAGTCACAACAAACGCGTCAACTCTATATAGTGCATACAGTTGACGCTGCCTATACCGAACTGACCGGCTGGAGAATTTAGTTCGTTATAACCAGAGCTTGCGTTATAATCCGATTTATTGATTAGGAAAAGTCGGGTCTGGTGATTCTGGTTCGGTATAGGCAGAGTCAACTGTACTCCCTTTTTCTTTCGTCAAGATCACCTCCATGGTAAGCATTGCTTTATGCACTTTCCGTTGTTTTGATATGTTGTACAGTTTGTATTGCAGGATAACAAAACGATGAATAGTCGTATTATTTGCATTTTCGATCATTTAGGAATCGTTCAAACAACGCTCGCATTGTTGTGATGATAATAGGTAACAGTGAGTCGTGTCTCGGTATATACTGTAACGAAAACTGTAGCGATATGCCGATAATCTCAGGTTTTGCATTTACTTCCTCAACTTTATTACACCGCAAGGTAGTCTGTGAAGACGCTTTCACAAATCGCCACGTATAGCTCTGTAAGTGTCACCCTTAAAGAGTGAAAAACAACTGCCAGTCGCGTAGCCATGTTTATTTTGAAATGGTGAAGCTCAATGTACGCGATATGTATCATATGAGATTGCAGATCATGTGACATGTTCGAAATTAATTTAATATTAATGACGACCAAAAACGACATCCTCCATGCTCGCTGTAATGACAACAGTGACTTCAAAGGACTGACAACGATAGGAGCACGGATAGTACAAGACGCCACCTAATGAGTCTTTTAACATTTTGTACAGATTGAAAGATTACTGATAGTGGTAGTTTTGTGATAAAGTATCTCCTTACTTGTGCACTCGAACACTCTCCCCTGCTTGCTCACCCGTGTTTCCTGATGAACGCCTACTCTCCAAAGTAAAAAGATATCACGACAGCTTCAGATTTATATATTAGTGTGACATTAGCTGAATTATAAGATCGACATGATCTGCATGCAGAACAAGAATGTTCTGAGATCACAGACACGTTGGGATTAAAGTTTATAAATGATTCAGTTCTCGTTTGCAGACGTGCGCCGTCGTGGCTTTCTCCTATCTTTGTAATGAAGATACGTTGAATGATATGAATATAGTATGATTTGATCGATAATTTTACCTCCATTGCATACTGAGAACGCGTTTAGCATAAGCGTAATTCATGTGATCATAGTCACGCGTCTGTTTGTTTTGCTTGTTGTCGTGATTCGCGCGATTGCTCCGAACAAACACGTGTATCGTACCACCACAATAAATAATACGCGTGTCATGCATGCTTTGAATTCTGACTTGTCACCTTTCCATCAGCTGATCATCACACGATCTCGATTAATCACCTGCAATCGGTTCACAATTACTCTTTTTTTGTTGCTCTCACACCAAATAGTAACTCAGCAATTGGGTGAAGTATCAAAAGAAATTTTTTCTTATAAATAGCCCAACACCCACCATCCTTCCCTTATAACTGCTCTGACGCTCTATCGCAGATTAATTCACTTTGCGTTACTACCTTTTGCGTTACTACCAATACAATCAAATAGGCATATCAACTTACTGAAACGTCACTTTTATTTAATAATCATGCCCGGCCAGAACACAAGCACTCGCTCCGGAAGAAAGTCTGCTTTAAAAGAAACAGACAACAATAAGGAGAACCATAAACCGAATACACCATCGGTCGATAAGCTGTCGATGAAAGAGAAAGACGGCTCTGACGCACTAGACTATGAGAAAAACGAACCTCTTTTACAACCCAACCCCAAGCGATTTGTACTGTTTCCCATAAAATATCAAGAAGTATGTTGGTTACACTGATCTGCACTGCGTATGACTGTTTACTCCCACATGACGTATTGACATTCACTCGAATACTAGATTTGGCACTTTTACAAAAAAGCCGAGGCATCTTTTTGGACAGTAGAGGAGGTCGACTTGTCTAAAGATCTTAACGACTGGGATAACAAGCTCACCGATGACGAAAAATATTTCATTTCGCATGTATTGGCATTCTTTGCAGCGTCTGACGGTATAGTGAACGAGAATTTGGTCGAAAGGTTCAGCAATGAAGTACAAATACCAGAAGCAAGGTGTTTCTATGGGTTTCAGATAATGATAGAGAACATCCATTCGGAAATGTATTCACTGTTGATCGACACATATATCAAAGAACCTGCGCAGAGGGAATTCCTATTTGACGCAATCGAGACAAGTAAGCGAAAATTGGGGGAGGGCATGTGTTCAATATCTTACAATAGATGAGATCTCGATATTGTGTGCGATCATTCGACAAATACCCTTTATTGTAACAAGTTTATTTTGTTTTGTAACATTGTGCTAATAGCATTAGATAATCATGTCGATCATCTTTGACTAATAACTGTTATTCGTTCACATTCCGATCACCTTAAAAAAATTGTAGTTCCATGCATCCGCAAGAAAGCAGACTGGGCGCTTCGCTGGATCGCCGATCAGAAATCCTCCTTTGCCGAACGTCTGGTTGCATTTGCTGCAGTTGAAGGAATATTCTTTTCTGGTGCTTTCGCTTCCATCTTCTGGCTCAAGAAACGGGGAATGATGCCCGGACTAACGTTCTCCAATGAACTGATTTCGCGCGACGAAGGACTCCATTGCGATTTTGCTTGCCTTTTGTTCTCTCATTTACGCATGCGTCCAAGTCAAAAGAAAGTGGAAGCGATAATTGTCGAAGCTGTATCCATAGAACAAGAGTTTCTTACCGAATCGCTACCGGTTGATTTGATTGGAATGAATTCGACACTGATGAAAAGATACATTGAATTCGTTGCCGACAGGTTGTTGGTTGCTCTCGGATGTCCAAAGTATTACAAGAGCGATAATCCGTTTGATTTCATGGATTTGATTTCGTTACAGGGGAAGACAAACTTTTTCGAAAAGAGGGTATCTGATTACCAAAAAGCCAACGTTATGAGCAGAGTAACAAGCTCAAATCCATCAGATAACACATTTACACTTGATGCTGATTTCTAATTTAAAATAATAATTAAAAAACGGACATTTTATTTACTTTATGTTCATTAAACCAATTACGTAGTTTGTACGTAAGTTTCAAATTACCTGATAAGTATGTGGTACCAAAGAATGTAATAATTCCAACACTAAATTTAGTAAAAGAAGGTTCGATCTCAACTTCTAATTTCCCCCCTGGAAAATGCTCAATTAAAAAGGCCGACTTTCTCATAGCCCAAACATCCTATTCCCAGAACTAAAAGAAAACCATGAATTCCTCTTGGAATTTAATGTCATGAGTTTCCTAGTTCTATTCATGAAGCAATTGACATCTCTGCCTAACACGAGTTAGTCAATAAGATTTACTTCACATAAAATAACGAAACACTTGTGAAATAGTCTGACGAGTAAGGGAATATCGTTCGTTTTGTCATATATGACACTGACTGCATAACAAGCTCACAACATATATTGTTCCTCAGATTACTAAAGTTTCTCATAATAGTACTTGTTACAACCATTATTACTATATTTCATTTTCTCTTACTCACCTCTTTTACTCCTCATACATAGTTTTGCATTCCTTTTTTTTTTTTTTTTCTCTTCCCGTTTGCTAAATTAGGGCAAACCCCGCTTTATAAACAACAAAAAAAAAGAACCAAGTTAATGATAATGCTAGCTAATACCCACTCGATACAATCTTTCATTGAACGTGAAGAAAACTGGGAAGACGTCGAATTCCCAGTATCTGGATTAATACCTCATGACAAGTTGTCAGTTACAACACGTGAGCCGTTTCCGGATTTTAGTGAAGAGGAATATGATGAGGAAGAAGATTCATTCGGATCGGATTGCAGTACATTAATAGCCAAGTTTAGTCCGCAAGCCGTCCAGATTAATGGCAACATGATGTTTGACCCAGTGAAAAAGCAGTGGTCAAGGATAAAACGCTCGCATGACGAAGAGTCTGATTGTTCTGATGACGACGACGACGACTGGCTAGTAGATGACAATAACAGTAATAATAAGGAGGAAGAAGATCAGTTTAAGGTTGGAAGAGAATTCGATATTACACCGGGATTGGAGGCGATGTTGTTTGCTGCTGAAAGACAGCATGGTAAAGATATGATGAAATGGTATCCGGCACCTCGATTTCCCAAGAATGAGGAGAGGTTTGGATTGAAGAATATGACTGTTCTTAAAGGACATCTGTATGAGATCAGAAAGGTGGGTAGGCGGAGAAGAAAGGGAGCGCAAGGCTTTTTTGGATGGTTCAAGTGTGGCAATCGTTAAAATTCTGGCCATCACAAAGTATGTCAACGTTGGTGTTGAGACACAAGTAATCATAGACTTGATGATTAGTTAACTTACGTTCTTTGAAATGAACAGGTGCCACCCGTTTGCAAGTCTCCCGGTCGTTCGTCCCGCCACTCATCCCGCCGCCACTCATCCCGCACCCGTCGATCGGCTCGACAGTCCGCCGGTTCTCGTCGTTGGCGTTAAGGAAACCCTGCATGCGTACCAAATGTGATCTTTGCATATTAATCTCCACCAGAGCACTTCATCACATATAATTCTGCATTCTGCATTGTATTCATTCTGTACTTTTATTGTCAGTACCCATTACTTATTGATCGATTTGTTTGCCTTCATTTTTTTTTTACCTGCGTTAATTAATTCGTTAATTAATTACATTACATTCTTGTAAAATCTGTAAATAGACATTTTCACGTACTTAATCAAGCAATTCGCATGACGCTTCTATTTGCAAGATGAAGTGCTAATTCCCATAATAATGAACACATCTGCGCGCAATTTTGATAGATGAATAAATTATTTGGAAAAAAAAGAAAAGTTAACCGCTTCAACATTTATTGTGTGTTTGCTTTTTGTCCAGCAATTAATAGACAATGAAATACATGTCAGCTATCGGTTAGCGATGATGTTACACGATATTTTGGAATAGTGAGGATGACGAGGCATGACATCTTATCTTCAAATGATGCTTGGAACTGTTTCGCGTCGATTAGCAAACTTCTGCTCTGTTGGTATTTATTAAGGTTGAATACGCTAGCTCTACGTTATTCATCTATTCAAGCTTGAATCTCTTTCAGTCAGGTTTTATTCATTCGGACGTCAAGTCGTCTCTTCGAATATATCACTTGCGTCAAGCTTCAACTTTACCTGCAGTCGCGAATACAAGAAATCCTCCGCAATGGACACCGAAACAGACTGCGACTGTTGCCTCACTGATAAGACAATATTTCGTAACTGCGTATAGTTTTAATACGTATAAGATAGTGAAGGAATTGGAAGAGAAGGGATTTACCAGAGGACAGTCTGTGGCTATAATGAAGTGCTTTAGGGCTTTATTACTGGATACGTCTACAACCCTAAAGTCACAGATGCTTGCGAAATCTGGATTGGATAATGTGAATGGAGCCATATTTTATTTGTTTATCGAACGATAGCAATATTGACTTTTACCCAATTAACTTTATCCTTTTCCTTTTGACAGGAACTATATCTCTTCCGCGCAGCTCTTAGCGAGCTTAGGACAGAAATGCAGATTCTGCGTAAAAACGATACCGCTGCTCTCCTCTCCCAAACGTCGCAAATTCAACGAGATCTCAGTGCGATCTCCCGCCGCATGACTGATGATATTTCAACACTGAAAAACGAGATGCAGATTGATTTCAATAATCGAAAGGACGATATAAGGCTCGATCAGAAAAAAATGCAGCTAAAGTTGGAAGAAATGAATAATCGGTGTATGATTGCTTTAGGGGAAATAAGAACGGCGGTTGAGGCGCTCAAGTGGGAGACTACGAGGAAAGGAATAAGTGAGTTGAAAGGGAGGTTGATGAAATTAATGGGGGACGTCAATTACAATTACTGATTGATACGTGTTGGGTTGCTTTATCGTCTACAGTAGCGATACTTGGGATAGGGGCGTTTGGTTTATTGGTCATGTTTGTTATGGAGAAAAGCGCTCGAAAGCAACAGGCGAATCAGAAATCGACATTTCCTGAACAGCAGGATGAAATGACTTTGGGATATATTGCACCAGTGCAGTAGCAGAATGAGCTTTCTTCTCATGGTTTACGTGAAGCAGTAGAGACTGGGAAGAACGTGTTCTATTTATGTAAATTATTCCGTGACCTGTCTGACAAATCTGGCAGATTATGGCTATTCGCGACTTTTGCTATCTGATAATCAAAGTCTTCGCGTTTCTTGGAGGCATGCAGCAAATATATTGCTGCCAGTAGCGCACTACTATATAGGAGAAAAGATATCTTAATAAAGTTATCTCGACGAGAGAACCATAATTAAGTTTGAAGGCGCATGCCGTCACTCATCTTTAGAATAGTGATTGGATTGTAGTGGATTTTTGCTGGTGTTTACCATCAATTATAGGAATGCAGATACTCTACAAGTGACGAATAGAAAAAAAAAAAAGGTAAGGTTTGCATCTCGTCTAAACCTAAAGTTCCTGCTCTTGCTACACTTTGCTTTGGTTAGCAGTTGTCTCTTGAGCCCGACCTAATTAACAATTTTAATGTAAAATCGTCAGATTGTTAATGCATATTATGTTAAACATTGACGCACAAGTCCGACTCGCGCTTTGAAAGTTTATAAAATTGAACTTGAATTAGCTGTCAACCTAAATTAGCAGCAACATCACAAGCAAAGTAATTAGATCGCGTATAAATTCAAAGTACACCATGCGAAGTGTGGGGATCGGAGAGATTTGTATTTCGCCGACGTTACACAATAAACACGTGGTTTCGATATACAACAAAATTGCCTCCAATACTCAATAAAGAGAATCCTCGACATCAACTACCTTTTTCAACAACTTCTTTCTTCTAGCATGGATCCCTATCGACCTCCTCCATACGGTACTTCAATTATTTTATTTTTGTTTCTTTCAATTACAGCTATCTTTACCCTGCCATCCGAGTCTGCAATTTTGTTGATCAGCTCCTTCTTTCTCTTTCTGATCTTAAGCGCCGTACCGACCGCCCTATAGCATGCCGGGCAGTATACCAAGTGGAATTCCAAACTTTGGCCAGCCAATGCATAGACCAGGCTTCGTTCCAGGTCCCTTCCACGGACGGCCAGGGTTTGGCCATCCGCCTCGTTCAGGCTTCACTGTGCAAGTTCCCGGAGGACCAGCGGCTGGCAATTCCAACGAATCCGAAAAACTCACAACCCTTTTTATAGGTGGCATCTCAACCGGCGTAACTGACGAATGGATGGAGAAAGTTCTCAAGGTAATTAACCCGTTACAGAATACTTATTAATGGATCGAAAAGAAAAAAAAAAGAAAATTAAAAATAAATCAAAGGTGAAAAAAATCCATCGCCATTATTTGTCAACAAGTTGACGATGTTTTACCCAAAACTTCGAAAGGAATCATTGCAATAAAGTATTGGGTATTTATTTGGGAAACTACAACACCTTCAAAAAGTCTGTGCTGGCCTTGGACGTTTTAGTCGAACTCTAACGAAGGTTTGGTACAAAACTTAAATTTTTGACCTTCGAAATTGATTGCGACGAGGGAAGACCGTGTCATAGTCCTTTGAAGACTATAGAACGCAATTTCATAGTGTCGGAAATTATATCGTTCCTTCGCGTGTGGCTTATTTTAACGTTGCTAACCTTTCTCGCTCCTGATACTTATTACTTCTCTCCACATGGAATTTAGACGTGTGGCGCGTTGAAGGCGTGGAAGAGGGTTAAAGATCAATCAGGCAATCCGAAAGCATTTGGATTTGCCGAATATGCCAACGCCGATAGTGTCTTACGAGCATTACGAGTATTGGGGGGCGAGGGCGCAGCAGATGAGAGAAAAGATAATGGCGTAGTTTTGCCTGCATTGGAAGAAGGGACGTCACCAAAAAAACTCTTAGTAAGTTAATTACTATGGCTACTCTCTTGTTAGACTTTTTCTATCCGTGTCGCTGTATGAATTCATTGTGCAATTATTGTTAATAGGTCAGGGCTGATGAAGAAACGAGAAAATATCTAGACCAATACGAAGCCGCAAGACCGAGAACGGCGGTATGTACATGCTGATAGTACTTAGTTTCAAAATTTATACTTTGTATTAATTTTGGTTTTTCGGATTGTTGCTTTTTTTTTTCTTTTCAGCATGATAGCGAACAAGACAAAAATGCACTACTTGCAGTCATAGCCGTTATCGAAGAGATGACAAAACCGCAGGATCAATCAAATTCCCCGTCATCAAAATCTTTGCAAGAGGACGCCAAATCAACAACATCTTCACTGGCGGCCGAAAATTTAGAAAAAAATGAGGAAACAGACCTTCCTGCTGATTTACCACCTGAGCAGAAAGACCTGATATATCGCGAAATAGCAATATTTAGAGAACGTGCTGCACAACGCGAACGCGAGCGCCGACGAGAAGACGAAGAGCGGGCTAATCGTCGAGCAAAAGCAGAAAAAGACAGAGAGGAACGGCGCCGTGGGAATGGGGATAGAGATAGGGATAATAGGGATAGACAATTTGGACAATATCAACAACCAGTAAATTTTGTTCCTGCTCGCGAGGATAAACATGATTATGTTTTAGATGATGAAGATGAAGAACGAAGACGACAAGCCAAGAGAGAAAAAGAGTTAGAGATGGCGTTTAAAGAGGTTGGCATGAACAATTTAATGAACGTGTCGATTCTGTAAAAGCTGTACATTTACAATTCAATGTTTAATTCAAACCGTACTGTGCATTTGAACTGTTGTTATTACTGCCTAGAGAGAAAGACGTTGGGAGCAACGCGAAGCAAAATTTGCAAGGCAGTACGACAGAGAGATTCGACAAGAAGCAGATCAGAAGGAAAAGGAAATACGTGACAGAGAAATAATGGCGAGAAAACTCGCTGAATGGAACGATGATGTTGAAGCAGAGCGTGGCACCGAACAATATTACAGAGATCGGTATGGTATTTGTATTAATCATTGTTTTTATTTTCGTGTCCATTCTTATGACCATATATTGCTTAGATCACGATGGTGGTACCATAGACAACAAGTGAGAGCTCGCGAGCTTGCAGCGGACGAACAAGACCGCCTTCAAGAACAAGAAGAAATAGAGGCAGAAAAACGGCGACAACAGAGAGAACGAGCACTCGAAGAACGTAAACAAAATGAAGAATTAATAGAAAATGAGAAAGTGACTAAACCTCTTTCCGAAACAGATACAAATTCTACTCCTAATGTACAAGATATAAACGGCTCTACGCAAACAAACAATGGTGGCATCAAAGCAAAATTAACACTAAACATAACAAATAAACGGCGAGCAGCGGTTATGGCGGCTGCTGCTGATGACGAAGAGTCTGACGAAGATGAATCAGAGACCAGATGGAAGAGGCGAGCTCTTGTGCCGTTAGAATATAGTGATGAAGAAGACGATGAGAAGAAGAGCGAGGAGAGGAAGAAGAAGATAAGAGAATTGGTGGATACCATTCCAACAGAAAAGGAAGAATTATGGAAGTGGGAAGTAAAATGGGACGAATTAGATGAGGTATTGTTTTGATGCTGCTGGAACAAATTCACTGCTAATAAAACAAATCTCATTAATATTATTGATTCACGTTATTATAGAATATTCTTAATAAGAAATTGCAACCGTTTGTAAGCAAAAAAATTGTACATTATCTTGGAGAACAGGAAGACGAACTTGAATCATTTGTGATGGACCAATTACGTCGTAGAAGACCGGCGGATGAACTGACGAAGGAGATGGAAACGGTAACTCTCAAGTTCTTATTTAATGGTATAAATGTTTTTTTTTGCTAATATTATCATTTTGTAGACGCTGGATGAAGATGCAGAGATTTTTGTAATGAAATTATGGCGGATGCTTATATTTGAAACGGAATGTAAAACACGAAAAATCTAAGCCGATGGAGGGGAAATGTTGAAGAAAAGGAAGTCGTTGTCTTTGATATTGTACGTGAATAATAAATATTAACCTGGTGTTAGCATTGTACAGAGGAATTTCCTGATTGGGACTTGCAGACAAATCATATGACTTTGAATAATATATGACTTTACTGGAAATGAAAGCAAACGCGAAAGATCAAAAATCACGAACGATCTAGTAAGCAGTAATATCCAAGGACATAAGTTATGAGTGTTCTTCATTCGGTAATCTTGCTGGGACCAGGATAACCCAGTCGCCTATGAAGTCTATTCAACAACTCTAAATAATCGGGTTCGTTGTCAGGTGTAATAACTCCGTGACGAACCAAGAAATCAATAACAACTGCAATGGCAAAGCGTAATTCATAAGAAATAGAGTTGAAGTTATGGGCGAATATTTTAATGAAAGAGCTTACAAACCTAATCCACAGTTTGGTTTGAATTCACCATTACGTAAATGTTGTTCGAGCTGTTCGTTGAACAATAATAGGTGTTTAACTGATTTATAAAGCAGTAAGTAAATCGCATATATTATTGTATCTCATGAATTTACCTCGTTTAAATCCCAAAGATAAAAACATTCGACCTCATCATCGTTTGGCTTGGGTACAATGTCAACCGGTAATTCCAAATCGTAGATATATCTAAGGTTATGATAATCCATATTTTAGCCCGTCTTAAATGCATATTAATATATTTTAATTACAGTTAATTCTCAAGTTTGTACAGACACTCAACTGTGTCTCGGGCTGTATTTGTGTTTGAGTAACGTAGAAATAAGTTATGGCTCCAACAGGTTGGGCTTTTTCGGCAATATGACCTGGTAGACTAGCCTCCTCCATTGCTTCTTTTATCAGAGTCTGTTTAGCAGAGTGTGTATATGCGATGCCACCAGCTACTGCGTTATCTAACCAGCCAGGCCATGATGGTTTATTAGATGCTCGTTTGCCAATCCACATTTTCAGTTTACCATCCGACGTGCGGGTATATGCGTTGAGATGAACGCCAAATGTATATATGCCAAAAAGGCTCGAAGCAGCGCGTTCAATTACGAACGCTATATTGTCAGGGTTGGATGGATCACCATAGACTGGATAAAGCTCGTCGCGCCAGCCTAGTAATATAATACGAGGATAGTTGCGAACAGAACACGAGCAAGTTCCATTAGGAGAGGGGAGAGGCTAATTGGAATATCAAAACTGAGACTTTGCCTCACCACGCAAGTGTGTGAATGCATCCTCTTCTCTCCACGTGTCAACCAATTGCTTAATGACAGCGGTTCTCTTATCAAGCGTATCAATTCCCTTCTCGAACGTTACAAATTTCTCACTTATATCGAACGGTTTCACTAGAAATCTGCTATTGTACTCTTTTAATTTCTCAACAACGTCCGGAAATAGCAAACCTATTTTCCTTCCAAACAGTGTAAATGGTATCAATTTTGATTTCAGTATATCATGATCATCATCATCAGAGTATGGAAAGCAGTCGCATTTTCTGACCAGTTCAATCAATGAGGGCATTTTTGATGAACTGGATATGCAAGAAAAGAATAGAAATTCCTGTATCTGCTTTCACTTGTAGCAGATATAAAAATGGCAGCAATTGTCGGAGAAAAACGTGATATATGCTGTTTCCAATGGGATGGGTCATACTAATAGAATGGGAAGGAAAGAGACAATGATTGATTATCTCATTATAATTGGCGCCCATGTTAAAAAGTTTTAACGTCTCTCACATGAGAGAGGCTTGAAGAGACAAGAGTTTATTTGCGGGCACTTGAGCTAATAATACCAACAATGGTTGCACTATGTTGACTAGTACAATACCCTTTATCTTTCACGTTTTTTCGTTTTAGAAACTCAAAGATGTTTTGTGATACATACAAAGAAAGAGGTGGGGAGTATTTATTTATTGGTGAGGGTGTGTTTCACTGCTCGAGAACGTATTATTATACATACAACCATTATATCTGATTGGACGGCTTTTTTTTTTCGCGCTCTTTCGTTGATAGAACCCCCCTCCCCTTTGCGGCCCCCTTTTTTTGCAACTCCCTCTGCAGTTCACGTGTAAGCACGTCAGGGATAGTCAGCTCCTGAATATTATTAGAGTTGGGGGTTTGTGCATTGTCATCCTTTGAATACATAGGACGAAAAGAGATGATGATGATAGTCACAAAGATGATCTTGTTATACGATAATCGGGATATTTTTGACAGAACTAATTCTTTCGAGTTGACATTGTCACTCTAGTTCCATAAATATCCTGAAGCATACGGATAATAAAGCATAAACCAATAATAGACCGCAGTGTTCCAAAACATTGCCGTCAATTGGAGATGCCAAATGCAAGGCATGTGGGAGGTCGTGTGATATACCAAAGTGAGCATGAAATCTTATCAGAGTATGCATATCGGATGTCTTGAAAAGCGGTCGGAAGCGAGAACATTTGATTTCCGTCCCAAACGCCGACATATGCTTGGTGTAAAACGCAGCGTTATCAACACGGACAGATGCACTCACACTCGCATTATGTATAACTCAATCGATTCGGTCAACTCGGCCCTTTTTTTTTTCTTTTTGGCGGAATCATGGAAAAACCGACAGGTTCAGCTTTTATGTAATACTTTAAAATTTTTGTAAATTTAGGGAACTAACAGCGGCACTATGATGTAAAAGAACAATGGAGACGGTATAGATTTTAAATAACTCTTTTTCTTTCCCCCTAGTCTATTCCATAGTCGGCACGAATCGGAAAAAAATAACGAATTAAACAATAAACAACTCGTCAAAAAGACAATAAAGAGGGCAAGCTTTTGACCTTTTGCTGGCGTTTTTTCCATTACGCCCAAATAACAATGAGCATCAATAATCTTCCATCGGTTCATCGCATCTATTCTTTTTTGCCTTCCTTCTGGGAAAAAAAAAGGGACAAACCTAATTCGAGTACCAATAACCCGCTTCATATCCATTAGTAGACAATAATCCAAATAATAACATGATCAGCGTCAGTAATTAAAAGATATACCTGGAACATGAAATCAAGTGTGCAATACTAATATACTGATATAATGACAGCCTATTCTTTTTTACCCGCGGTTACTTTAATTGTAACCAAAGACTCATTCATGCTCACACCGTGCACCATGCCATATACGCCTATTCTGAACTATTGCCATACCTACACTGCCAAATTATGACTTCACAATCATTCTGTCCATGTGCAATCTTCACGCTATCTACGCCCAAAGAGGAAAAAGACAGCTGTGCATTTTCAGTTGAATCTTTTTATCACTAATAAACATGGCACCAATCAGTTGTACACCCCTTGAGAACGTAAGTACTACAAATATGTACAAAGCGTGTCCCAACCAGGTGTAATTTTAAACTTTGCCTATTCGATACAACATATTCCGGTGTGTGTGTATGTGTGTATGTATATGTGTGTGTATGTGTGTATGTGTGTATGTGTGTATGTGTGTATAGCCTTATTATTATATTTATTTTAAACCGCGAAGAAAAAAAAATTAAATTAATTCCGACCCAAATTCACTGACATATCACAATATGCTCCTTTTTGTAATATGATGACGATAACCGTGATGATGCTGGTGATGATGTACGAACACTCGGTCAATAAAATGCTCCCAACCTTGCCCTATCTCTAAACTCCACAACTTTCTGTTCCTCGTTATCTTTTCCTCCCCTCTTCTCTTGTAAATAGTCTCGTTACGGAAATCTCCTTGATTTCCAAACTATATATATACACACATATATATACAACATATATTACATATTTATAAAGTACTGTCAACATACTCAGACTAAAACAAAAATATCTAAAAAAATAAACCAGAAAGAAACGGCGAACTATAGCTCTTCGTCTTGACGATTATGACTTACGCTGTCTGAGTGACGATCAAATTCTCATGTTATCATACACTTATCACTCTCATCGACGACGTGCTTTCAGCGAATATACCATACCGTTTGACTGTAACGAAACACCTTATTGCACGAAATCTACGTCTTTACTAGTCGTGAATCTAGTTCAATTAGTAAAGGCGAGAAATAAAGAACAATAAAAGAAATAGTGCCTCTATAGTCATGGAGGAAATTCAACAAGTTTGTGTTAGAGCTGCCGAACAGCTATCAAGTGGAAACGTAAAAGTGAGTATGCATCATAAACTTGTCCAACTTCTAACTTCTATGTGAAAATTATATCTTGGACGTGTGTTGACAATAACCTCCCCTATACAGGATGCATATTTTACTTATATAGGTGCACTTGACGTGGCCTCTAAGGAACTGCATTCGATAAAATTTGTAAATAACGGTAAGTTTACTCTACCTGATCAGAGAACGAATCGGCTCGGCATGCTTATCTGGAAAAATGATATTACAAGTAGAATGTAGAGATTCGAACCAGTTGGAAGTGAATAGTCTTCCGCCCCCCCCCCTTCCTCCTCCCCTACACCATGTCAATAATATGATCATTGCTAATACTTCTTCCTTCCATAAATTAAAATAAATAAAAAACTTTTCCTCTAATAACAGTCGTGACATCGAAGCCACCGTCAGTTCCATCAATATTCAAAACACTTCAAGCCTGTCTAGTCTATGCAGAAGACATTATCAACAAAAACCAATCGTCGATATTAACGTCTAGAAAAAATGCAAATCTCAATATTTCTGTTCATCCTCCAACACCATTGCAAGAAGATCCCACCGACACTACCACATCTCCCAGAGCCCCTCCCATACCACCAAAGCCAATGCGTAGATCTACCCCTTCTCCACTTTCATCTCCCAGACAATCATATAGTGTATCAACATCACCTCCTACTAAACCACCTTTACCCCCAAAACCAACACGAACGGGAAGTGTAAGAAAGTTATTAAGGGAGTATGAAGCGCAGACCGCGGCCACAACAACTGCCACTGCAAATGATTCGGATAACGCGGATGAGGGTGGTGGAGAGGATGCTGATAACTCAGATTCGGATTCGGATGATGAAGATGAGGATTCAGGACAAGGTATGTGCTGTGAGCAATATTAAAAACGTCAGATATCCCAGTGTAACAAGTCAAATATCAGGCAATGCAAATAACATTATAGATAATACAAGGACATGTATAATGTCGACATATCTATGCGTCGGCGTAAGTCAAAGAGTTTCTGACCTTTATGTCTTGCTAGTTGCCTGTCATTGCTAGGGATACAACTTATAACTATTATTAAGACGATTCTTTACTGCCTAATATCAATCGCTTCAAATAGATTGATCTAATGTTCACTATTCTGATTCTCTATCATTCTGAAAATCCTGTTTATTACATAGGAACGTACTCAACATCTGACAACAATTTAAAGATCTCATCGGATACGTCTCGTCGACGTTCGGCGTCACCCAATCTATCCATAATCATCAGAAAGGAGTCACCAGTAGTTGACTCGGTTACTGACTCGCAAACAGATGAAGAGTCACCGAGCTCCGCTCATGCAGCATCGTCACCACCAACACTATCATATTATGCATCAATGGATCAGAATTCTCATCCGTTGTCATTTTTGTACGAAAAGTCAAATGTAGCATGTAAGGCAGTATATCCGGAGGGAGCCGTTGATCCCACAAACATAGTTGAAGCTACGGTTATTACAGACATTCACAATATGCAAAATCCAAGTTCGCCTACATCAATAAGTTTTACTGATCATGTGCCCAAAATTCCTGCGTCGCCTCTTTTAACGTCACATTCACGATTGGAACAAAAAATAAGAGTATTAGAAACAAAGATAGCTGAATATAGGGCTGTATCTAAGGACAGAGAATCCGGGGTAGGTATTAAAGACGATAAAGGACAATTGCTATCCGATTTGACTGATGAAGAGATATCGGATGCTATAAGAGAATTCAATGCTACACTGGCTGCCTCGAGACGAGCAATCACAAAGACACTAAAGCTTGTTCAAAAGGCAGCCATTGAGTTTGATGCTTTACAATTCCCACCCTACTTGATTGCATATCAATTGACACTTATCGAATCAGCAATATTTTTAGAGATAGATCCCACAGCACTGTTAACCCATTCACTCAAAACACCTGATGCAAAAATAACTGCATCAACGGACTTTTTCAACTATCTTACTCGACTAGTCGAGTTAACAATACTGACACCTACAGAAGCAGCAACGAGAGCTCAAATTATTCATCATTGGGTCAAAGTAGCAGTTAAATTGAACGAACTACAAAACTATCAAACACTGAAGGCTATATTGTCGGCACTTGGTACACCACCTATCATGAGACTTAAACGTACTTGGACATGTATTCCAAAGAAGAGCACAACTAAACTAGAGACATTGAATGAAATGATGAGCGAAGCAAGAAATTATCAGAAATACCGCGAATTCATACAAAAAAAGGGATTCGCACGGAGAACAATGGTGCCTTTTTTAGGAACATTTATTATGGATGCTACATACCTTCTAGCTGCAGTCAAGTCTCAGTCTCAAGTTGGGTCGAGTCAACATGGTAATGGACCTCCTCCTCCGACGCCAAATTCAACTAGTGTATCTGTATCTACTCCTTCTTCACCAAACATAGTCGCAGCAAGAGATGATCCTCGTGTGCAAGAACTTTTACAAACAATGCATCGTTATCAAACTGGACCCAAGTTTTCATCAACGCCACCATCGCCATACGTTAAATCGTCAACTAAACACAATTCACACTTCCGCACCGCTAGTCTTAGTGCTGCTCTATATCGTGGCGGATACAAGAGAAATGACGATGACGATGAAACACTTGAAGAAAAACAATGTCTGATTACACATTATTTATTAACAAGACCATGGATGCCTGAAAAAAGTGTTGATGAACTAAGTATATTACGTGAGCCACCTAAATACAAGAATGGCAATACTAGTTCCTCTCAGAGGAACAGTGGTGGACGCTTGTCTAGTAGTCTGGTGTCTAATCCATATTCTGAGAGCACAAGTACTATTACAACAAGTGAGATGGGGCGGACAAGTTCAGGTGGGAGTAATGATTCCCGACCCAACAGCATGGAAGACAGTGGCGAAACAGTGGTATCTAAACTAGAACGGGCTGTCGCTTTCAATGAGAAAGATTTTGTCAAAGAAAAAGACAAGGATAAAAGAAATCTTACCGATATGGTTAATAGAGTCCTATTCGGACCACGAAGTAGTTTGGACAAATCACAAGACAGAGAAAAGGATAAACTGAAAACAGGCGACAGAGATCGGGATCGTAAATCGGACGAAAGCGATACTCGCGAAGATTCCTACCGCATCTTATCAGATACAATATTCGTAAGTAGCCCAACATCAAATAAACGCCGTAGCTGGCGGACTGGGGCAAAGAAAATGTTTGGCGCACCTGAATCCGATAAACCGTACAATCGTCACTCTTCCAAGAGTGACCCGCCACCGTTACCAAAAGTACCAACGCATGCAAGAACATCATCAGCTGCTTCGCCGACGACCAAGTCGTCAACGTATGTTCCTACGCTACCGGCGCGTAGATCATTGGATGAGATAAGAACCGGAACGCCACCGCCATTGATGCCTAAACCTGCAACTTTGATGCAGAGAAGTGCCAGCGCATCGTCTGCGAGTGGGATAAGTGGTGGTGGGTCAGTGAGTGTTGCGGGTGGTTCAAGATTAAGTTTGGATGGTGCTGAAGACATTAGAATGGCGTTAGCTAGAAAAGTTGCGAGCGAGGTTGTCGCTGCTAGAAAGGAACAGGAAAGCAAGTGACTAACAACAAGAGTGCGTAGATTGCGGGAAAACACTGCTGGGATTTAAGAGTAACTTAGTGAGAGGGTAGGAAGGGGTATTTGGTGAGGTGGGTATGTGGTGAGAATGCAGTGAGAATGAATGAATTCCGTTATTGTACAGTGAGTGAATTGACACTGGAGAAGCGATCCCTGTATCTCTGGTAGCTATATACTATATCTATAAATATATACATACAAGTGTAAAAACAGGATTCACGCTAAAACGCGTTGCTATATGCTTAGCATATTCATGTAATAAAAGAACGCAGTTGATGTACGCTGGATTAAATTCTTGCAACGCTTGTTGCATTTACCATCCCGTTATGAAAACATGATAGCAAAGTATGAAAGCGATCAGTAACTATCATGGCAATACAAGAACATTCTGTTTAATTTTTGTTTACATGTTCGAGAATCACGTGAATAAGCCTTTAATTAATGTGACCGATTAATAATAACGAACGGAATACTTACGGTAATGTCAAGCTTGCTTCTTACTTATTTTAGACGAATTTCCGGCAGGTAAAAGTATACTAGCTCTTTACTCTCCTCGGGACGTCATATTTGTCTTACATTCAATGTCAGCAGAATTATCCTTCCTATCTCGAAGAGATGCTTCGCTAGTGGCAATCAAGTACATGATAATATCAAAAGAATGTATTAAATAGTCTAAAAATGTTCCCACGAAACGAAAATTTATTTACATAATTATTAGTTTTTTGCGGGCACTCCAGGAACATCGGGTCTTTGGGGGGGATAGGACCTTTTATAATACTTTAACACTCACCACAATGTTACAGTATTTTCAATAAACTATGACCATTGATCATCTGATTTGACATACAGTGTGTTACGAAAAAAATTGCTCTCGCCAAATTGAAAATATTTTGCATTATAAACAAGAAACACGTTTGTTTATTGCCAACGCAATAGTCTCTGTTTTCGTTGTAATTACCATTGTTAGCAGTGTTAACGTCATCCTATGTCATCTTTGTCATCAACGTCTGACTTGGCATATGCCATACGAGAATTTGGAGATGGCAAATTTCAATGATGTATATTGAATGTGGGAGGAGACTATGCTGTTATGGACACGGTGTGCATTGGATGACCAGGAATCCATTAGCTTGTGAAACTCACTTGTTAATGATAACTGTTATCGATGTGTGTGCAAAAAAACTGAATATTATGTACGATTTTTATTTATTTCTATTTATTTTGACTATACCGATTGGCTTGATTCTTCGAAGACGCGATCAATTTTCATCATCAATCGCTAATAAGTCAACATCCAAGAATCCATTGCTCATATAGTTTACATGTTCATTAATATTAATATTAAGTGATGGCTGGCTTGATTCTTCGAAACGCGAAATCAATCTTTACTAGTAACTCGATTCAATTGTTTAAGTTATAATAGATATTCTTTATTTTAAAATTTGTTGATATCATAAAAGTAAGTATGGTCATGAGTAGGAGTGCGAGGAGTCTGATAGGTATCAACACTCATTGCATCAGAGTTATCTGGTCGAGTAAAGAACAGCCGTCTTTCTGATTGCCAGTGATCGTACAATTCAGAATTGATCTTATTGAGATATTCTAGAAGACGTAGCCAGCGGCATACAAAATCCTCCAATTCCTCTGGACTTTTAATAGGGTTAGGGATAGTGTAAACTTCTCTAGCACACGTACCTGATAATACAGGGTGTTGCGAAAAAAATGGAGCGCAAATAAACTTGTATATCTCAGCAATTACCCAACGGAGACATATGAAAGTGGACTTATTTTAAAGCTTATAAACTACTTTATTAAGTATTAGTATAGAAATTTTAATACAAATTCTATCCCCATTTTTTTTTTGTAATACTGTTCGCAACGATTTTTCATAAATTTGATTAATTTGTACCACCTGAGGAATTTTATCCCACTCTTCTACCATAACTCGCTAATATCTTTAGGCATTCTTTTTTCCACATTGTTTTTAACTATCTGCCACATATTCTCGATGGGATTCAGATCTGGGCTGTTAGACGGCCACTCCATTACATGAATGTTGTTTTGAGAAAAAAATTCCTTTGCAACACGTGAAGTGTGCTTAGGATCATTATCTTGTTGCAGACCAATCTTCTACCATAGATCTGTTGGACAAACGGAAGAAGCTGGGCTTGCAAAATATTTACATAAAAGGGACCCATCCATTATTTCTGTAAAGCAAAACAAGGACGTTTTGCCATTCATCGAAATTCCATACCAAGCCATTACCTTTTGTCGTGATTTCGGTAATCTTCTAATCGGCCTTTCTCCATTCTTGTACCGTCGTGTTATTTTATTACAAAACAGATCAAAGGCCGTTTCATCTGTGAAGATAGTATACAGTTATCATTCAAGTAAGCCTGTGCCATGCTTTTCGCGCATCAATATGATTACTGGTGAACATTGGTGTAGCAAGTGGTATGGCGCCTTTTTCTTCATGTGTCGCCAAATGTTAGTATGCGAAATAGATACGCCATACGTTTCTTGAATTTTGATTGCAAGTTGACGAGTTGTCATGGCTGAGTTACGGCGAACTAATTGTCCGATCGAACGGGATATGGTTTGTGTAACCTTGGACGAACGACCGTTACCACCCTTATGTTAAACTACTCAAAGAGAAAGGCGGTTTACTTTTGCAAAGACGAGTAAAATAAACTTATATAAATATAGAAGCCATGTAAACAAACGCGTTTTTCTTTTGTTATTCAAAAAACAAATCTTTCAAATTACGCGCCATTTTTTTCGCAACACACTGTATGCACAATAAGGTCTATATAATATTGCGATCTTAACCTCATGGCAGTGAACTTGTATCAACAAGATGGGTATATCACCCACTCGTCGCAGAAATTCTCTACCGTCTCTAGACTTGCCCAGTCTCTCTGCTTGATTCTTTGTTATGGGATTGAACATTCGATCATGTGCATCCTTGCCCATACGTACCAATATTAATCATATTTACCATCTCATGACCAACGCCTTCGCTCCATATCTAAGGACTTCTAACAGATGTGAAATAACACCCACAACATAAGTCCCTTCATTGTAATCATCGGTGTCTTCTGGGAATTGCCAGATACAACGCCTACAAATGAACAAATAGATAAATACAAGAGCTATTACTATCTCAAAACAGCATTTCCATAAATTTGACTTACAGATTTTCCAACAACCTGTGTGCCGCATGAACCTGCAGCTTGACGCTTTCTGGTTTATTCTGCAAACCCTTTGGCGTCTTGATGGAGTCGATCAGACAACGTTTACCATCACTACACATGTATGCAGCATTTTTCCTGTCAACCAATTTCTGACACATTAGACGGATGCTGCTATTAATATGTTTATCCTATTAGAAGAAAGTTATATGAGTCAACAAAAATAAGAAGTTCCAAACAATCAAACATACTGACCTCTACAACAATCGTACAAATATCATTATTATTATTATAGACCTGTTTATCGATCACATCAGGTTTTGCGGCAACATAAGGCTCGCCAAAGATGCTTAGAAAGCATGGAGAGTTTGGATATAATGAGATCATTGAAATACATAACAAACAAAAGACCTTTCTCATAATTTCTCACTTAACCGTCAAGGGCCATTTATGGAATCCAGCAACCTGCACTAGTAAATTCATTATCAGTCTGTTAGTTTCAGATTCATCTTTATCAGCACGTGCAACTTTATTCAGGTCTTCTGCGAATGTTGACATCATTGTCCGAAATTTCGGGATGATTTTCAACACTAAATTTCTCATCGATCATTGTTTTACGATCGATTTCAGGAAGGGCGTATTTCTCTACAAAGCAAGAACATGTGTCTAAACAATGTTTATATTATAAGTATTAGGTCCACTAAGAAGACTGTTGGCACAGTGTAGTTCATACCTTCTATATCAGGGAGGACCTCGTTCTGTAAAACTGGTTCAAAGCTTACTTTTAGTAAATCCAAATCTTTATTCCTGAAATTAGATGCTGTAATATGGAGGTATCCCCAACAGAGTCAGAAAGTTTGTTGTTAAATATACCACCCCTTCCTGGGGTTTGAAGATTATTTTTTAAATCAGTAACAATTTGACTTACTAAAGTCTTATAATGTTCTTCTTTTTCCACTAAATTGGGTGCAACCTTTGCCCTAAGTCCAGTAATTTCTTTTTCTTTTTTAGCCTTTTCATCCAAATAAATTTCCAATTCTGCTTTTTTTGATTCAATATCAAGTAAATATTTATAGTCAGATTCATAAAATAAAACATCTTCAAATTGTCTAACAACTTTATCAATTGGTTTATTATAACCAATTGCATTAACCAATTGATAAGGAACAGAGTTAGCTCTTTGTTCTGCTAACAAAGATTTAAATAGAGCACGTCCATCAGGAGTTAAACCCATTTTTACTTTATTATTATCTTTGGATTGTTTTCAATTATCAAGTATTTTAGCAGTATGTTGAAGTAAAGCTTTATCCACAGTGTCATTTGGTTTTAAAAGATTATTATCAAAGATAGCCTTTTCTTCAGGTTTAAGAGCTCCCCCATGATAATTTGAGTATTCTTTAGCTTCGTCTATTGTATTTATATCATTTTTTTTGAATGTCATAATTTTACTTCCTATATTATTATATTTTAATATTAATAGATTAAATATAAAGAATTTAATAGAACAAACAAAAACTAATAAAGTAATAAAATTTGCGGTTGACCTGAAATATTTTTATTCATTCTCAGTATAGATTGGTTTGGGACAACTAATGTCTTTAAATTCATCTCTCACCAAAGGACTAATATTTTTGTAAAGATACTCTTGGTGTTTGTAATCTAATGGAGGCGGAGTTAGAATTAGGATGGAAAAAATTTTAATTTTTTTTTGGTAATTTCAGAAACGCTTGCTCTTCTAGTTTTTAACAAATTAAATCAGTATAAGTACCATTAGCGACCAGCTGGGCTTTGACAATTCCAGGTCGGGCCGCTTCAAATACAAAATGCTGATATTTTTGCAAGCCACTAAATTTTTTAAAAAAATTTCCTAACACGAAATTAAAATTTAAATACTGAAAGCCTTTGCCGTTTTCATAGCACTGAGCTTTGTTTAATCCTGCTGTACTTGATTTTTTGACAACCTCAACAATATGATTCACACAATCTACCGTTGTTTTTCGGTAAAGTTTTTTAATTAATCCAAAACTACCATCACACTTGAATTTAGTATGTCCAGGTATCATGAAATTTATTCAATACTTTTATAATAACCACAAATTATTAAATACGGGTAAATCAAATAGTGACATTATTTTTATTCTGTCCTCCTGCATTATCACAAGTAATCTTCGCCTTTATTCAATCTCTTAATTCCATCGAATACCATGCTCAGTGTACCATTAGGGGCCTTTGCCGATAATTTCGTCTTCATCGAGAACATAATTAATCTGTTCACGTACTGCTTCATCTTGAATACCAAATAAATGCACTTGCCCGCGGACCGAGGTAATAAATTTTACTTGTTGATCAGAATGAGGTACGTGAACATTTTTCAATAAATAAAATTTTGTTAATATTAATCGGTCATGTGCAACCAAGCTAGGCAACATGTGACGTCATATAGTGGATATAAAAAAAATTGCTGGAAACGCGTACCCAGGGCTCTACGCGTACCAACCCTATTAATATTAAACCCTATAGAACAATGTCCAAAGTCAGACCATTCAAACAACGAGATTTTACTGGTTGGCAAGAGTCTCTGGATCCTGAAGAACTTACCCTTTTATCTTTATTAAGTTTCCGTCGAAAAAAGTGGGATTTTTCCTTTAGCCCTTGTGAAGAGCATTTCGCAATCACGAAGTTTCTAGAGAGTATACCCGAAATCGTTACTGATAAGAGATGGATTCTTGCTGCTGAAAGAATTAAAGTAAAGGCAAGTAAACTTACATATCTATTATAGGGGCGAGGAGATAGGGAAGGAGTCGGACTACGTGTCGATGCAACCACCTAAGCGGCCTTAGTACGTCTTGGGCCGTTACGGAGTACGTCTTCGGTGGGCTCCTCCCAAGAACTTTTCCCCACCTAAACAGCCCGAGTACGTCTTGGGCTAATTACGGAGTACGTCTTCGGTGGGCTCCATCCCCAGTCTTTTTCCCACCTAAGCAGCCTGAGTATATGCCTTGGGCTAGTTATCTCTGGTGGGCTTTGGAGTTTGCAGGGCCTTCGATACAGAGTTTCTAATTAGTTCCTCTTTATTTTAAGTATGAAGCACAAACAGAGGAATTGAAAGCATTTTGGATACAAGTCAACATTGAAAAAATCGAGACAGAGAAGAAGCTGAAGGAGTATGAGATAGAACTGAGAAAAGTATGTAATATGTAATTCTGTCACTGATCTATCTCAAATCTCTTAGCTGAGGTTGTATTAATTTGTTCATGTTACTTAGGCCGAGTTTGCTGCCAGTTTTTTCAAAATGGGTAATGAGGCACATAAAATCCAGGACAAAGTGCGAATAGATTATGTATTGAATTCACATGCCAACACTAGCCAAGGGAAGGACCATGAGTCTGATAAGGTTTGCTTCATTGTCTGTGCAGTAGTAGTATAAATGGAATAATGTCAATGAGTGGAATGATTCAAATTACTGTACATCTTCGCAGGTTTCTGGCAAAAAGCGTTTTGCTAGTTTTGATGATAATCCTGTAAGTGCTTTGCTAGAATTGCTACTGATAGAATTCCACTGGACATATTGGCTCATTCTTGTGCATTGAATAATTTGCTTGTCAGTTTGTTACTCCTACTCCTAAGTATGTCTACTCTACAAAGCGCAAACGTGAAGAGGCATTGAACACTGGGACCCAGGTATTGATATACATGTTTATATATGATAAAATCTGAACAGCCAACTTATTAATCCTTGTATACAGAATTTCAAAATGAAGTTGTTGGGGATTGACTCAACTGATGAAGGTGGCAGTGACAGTGACAGTGAAAGTGATAGTGAAGACGAAGAATACGAGGACAAGGAAGGCAGTGATAATGAAATTATTGCTTCAGATTCTGTGTTTGATGATTCTTTCTCCCTGAAAGATTCAGAATGGAAGCTAAAAAATGGTGAATTGGTGACAGCAGTTCTTGCAAGGTGCACAATGAAAGTTTGGAAGGAATCAAAAAAAAAAAGCCAAGAAACCTGATGCATACATAATGAGTGTCATCTGGTATATGTCATGATATCTTTATTGATTGAACTCATTGGATAGGATTACTAACTTCAGCTACATACAGGCTTGGTTTATCCAGTATTGTTGATCTCACATCTGAATTTACCAATGGCATGTGGACATTCTTTGGTGAAGATTGGGATATTTTGAAAGCCAAGGTCTATAATCAGCTCAACATCACACCATTGAAATTTGAAGGCATCATTCATAAAAGTGTGAAAACCATAGAAGAGGTTTGGAAACTAGTATATATATACTAATTCTGAAGAAATTATTTGATACAACATTAAAAAAAATTTTTTTCCAGATGTGCAATAGCTGTAAGTATTGGGAGGCACGAGAGTTCATCTTAGATGAAATGAAGAATCAGGAAAGTGGCACCAAGTATCAACAAATTCTCAAAATATACTTCATTATGTATGTTATCATGCTTTTGACTCTGTTTTGATTTACTAAACTGAGTTTTGGTTTCTGTTATTAGCCTGGATATGTTTTTGAAGAATCCACATGTGTTTATTTGTGAAAATGGTCAAATGGAAAAGCTTACAGAAATGGAATATGTCTTGAGAATGATAGCACCTATCCTAGATATTGTATTTTCTGATGTTACACACATTGTTTGTCTCCGTTGGTAAGTATGAATTGATCTTAATAAGATACCCTATTAAATTTGTCTAATATTTATTGTATTGTAGGGGTGAGACAATGTTCAAAACTGCATCTGCACGCCGCATAATTGACTTAAGGGTTGTGTGCCATGGCCAAAATTTGGAGTTGAGTCACTCAGAGTGTGCTCGAGCTACAACTCCCAGTAAGGCTGTTAGGGATCGTAGTAAGTGCCTTCGCACAAATCAATGCATTCTCAATGAGTTTTTGAGGCAAGATATATCAGAGGATGATGCTGAGAACTCTGTGGTTTTTGGATTGCAGTTTGCTGGTTAGTGTCTCTACATCTTTAATGTCTTATGTAAATATGATATTGATCATACTTCTCTATGACATAGCCCTGTGTGGCCAACTCATTGGTGTTGAGTTGGTTGATGATGGGCTATACTTTGGTATTGAAGGGGATTCCTTTCTTTTCCCATCCCAACTGACTCAGATGAAGCTGTTGCGACATGCACTGGAGGTTATTTACTTCTTCAAGGTGAAGCAAGCATCCTAATTATAGTTGATGACCTTTTGAAACAGAATTGCTTACTCCTATCTTTGTAATGGTCAGGATAACATCCTACACAAGGCAGAGGCACTTGCTAAAGATAATCATCCATATAAGAAAATATTCAATTCTAGAAAGCCAAAACCAAAACATCAGAAACTGACATTCATCCGATCTCCAGATTTCACTCCACGGCAGAATAAAAAGTCTAAAAATACGAGTTAGTATTTGTTATGTAATAGTAATGGTAATGTTAATAAATCTCGGTTTGATATTGTTACAGTCAGCAATTAATTGCATAGGTGTGTTCTGTGTCGTGACGTTACACGTGGGAGAGCGATCGTGTAACCTCCTTGAGATTTAGCGTCTTCCAATGGCTGTTATCGGCAACGCCTACTAATGCTAATTCTTCTAAACAGTTAGTGACCTTTTAACAGGCTTTTGAATACTTA